TATCATGTGGATTTATTTTCTCTTCGTAAAACAGTCAAAATCAAAATGTCTGCTAATCCATATGCACAAGTGCAGTAGTTAATACTAACACCTGTCGCTTTAAATTCCTGATCTGTGAGTCCTTAGTGAAATTACAGTCGCAGACCTTAAATGTCAATATGAAGGTACCCACCATATGAGTGTGAATGATCAGATAGGATACACCAGACACACATCCTTGATGTATTATGGAAGAACCAAGCAATCTTACAGGGGAAGAAGTACTGAGTACTGAATACTCTGAAAAAACAAAGTACAAATGTGTGCCTAAAAGAGTACAAAGGTTTGTCTTTGAGGCTGTATCCAGCTGCAGCACAATCCAGTGCCTTCCAGTGAGAGTACAGTATGTCAGGAATGTGTACCTATTAAGTAGAGTAATGTGCCCTGAATGACAAAGGTGGCCCTTTCACCTCTGGTACAATAATGTCCTTTTTCAAGGTTCACCTAATATGTCCCTTGAATGACACCCCAGCCACTGCTTTTAGCACTCAAGGTCGCAGAGGTGACCAAGCAGACGTATGCAGTAAAACTTTCTTTACTGTTTATTTCTCTTAGAAGCATGAGTTTAAAAATATAACATCACTGTGTTTGTCTTGTACAATAAATAATTTAAAAACAAAGCAGGAATAAAAACAAACTTTAATAAATTCATGACATGCCGGCATCAGTGTACTGTGGAGGGTGAATTCTTGAAAAGTGTACCTGTAAGTACAGGACTATACCTGCATTATGGTTCTCTATTTGACTATGAAGTGAGTCAGATCCTAGTTGGGTTTATTTTCAGGATTTGTCCAGGCACATAGTACACCATACCATAAAACTGAAATAGCTTTTGCTGTTCCATTCTGTGAATACCCAAACCCCTCAGCCCTCCCTGTCCAGAATTTTTAACGCTCATTTAAAATCCAATGTGATGGAATTGCATTGTACTGTGGAAAACGCATTGCTGTGAGATAAAGTCAGGCTGGAAAAAATGTATTTTTTCTTTGAAGGGGGATCCTGTGGCTCAGCAAGCTAAGCCTCTGTGCCCATAATCAGAGGGTCACCTTTGGCAGAATAGCCACATGTCTATGGGCCCCCAAGCAACGCCCCCAGCTCCTTGGGGCCCTTCACTCATAAGCCTGCTCTCACCTACTTGTGTGTCAAGGCAGGCAAAAGGAGAATTTCCCCACAGGGATCAATAAAGTGTCATTATTACTGTTATCACAAAAGTGTGGAAATTTTCCAGAAAGAAGGTTATATAAGTCATCTCACATGTTATACTGCTGTAGCTGGATAACTTTTCTGTTCTCAGAGATGTAGGAGGCAGAGGTAACCTGAGGAGAGTCATTAGCAATGTCGAAGGACACAATGACTACATCCGGCCGTTCTCAGAAATGCAGACATCATCTGTTTTATTGTGGAATTTTAGTATGACAGAATTGAGTGGACTTGGGTCCTGAACCTGGAGCAAATATATTTCTAGAGAAAAAATTACATTTTTGAAAATTATTTTTGTATAGTTATATATTCAAGGTAACTGGAAAAAATTAAACAAAGCAACTGAAACGATTAGATGGAATATGACAATAATATATTTGTATAGACAAATATATGGGTAAAGAGATCTTACAGATTTTAAGATATTAATTTCTGAGGGACAAATGTGATATATAATACTAATGTCTAGTGATCTGGACAAATAAACATTAAGGGCTACACATTAAGTGGTGCATAAAAAATGGAATGGAATAATATTAATTTTATATTACCCTCTTTTCTTGTATTGGATGAGCAGTTGGAAGATGGATGCAATTTTGAATAAAATGAATGGGAGTGTGTGGAATGAGTCAAAATGGTGGAATTCCTGTGTTTATTCTGCATTCTCAGTAGTGGAGATCAAGAGTCAAGAATTCTTGGTTAACTCTGGGGCAAGATGGCTAGCTTGACAGGTATCTGCTCTGACCACCTGGACAGAGTGTGAGGACACTTGGGAGAAGTAGACAGGAACAGATCTAAAGTTGTCACCCAGTGGAACATCTTTCACAGACTCAAAAGTGATGTAAGCTATGTTTACAGCTATAGTTAATTACCGCTGTGAATGCATAATATTGATTTTAAGCAACATAATTGGTCTGCACATAGCTGAATCATTCCCGGCAGTATTTGTTTAAAAATTCTGTTGTTTTTCTTTTCTGTCAACACCTTTTGGGCTGATTTTTTTCTTTCCAGATATTAAAAATATTTCTGGAATATGCACAGTTATTTCCGTTTGCCATTCTTTCTCTCTTTGGGCCCAGCTTCGTGTTTGAGGTTTACACTAAGGGACCTGCTAAGCTGTGGTGCCCTAATGCTGATCACCAAGTGACCTCCTGTCTTGGTTGATGGACTGCACAGCCACTGATAGCAGATAACTGTGTTCATGTAAGGCCAACATTGCATTGGTGTTCAGTATCTTTTAAAAATGTTCAATAGTGCTCATTAATGATGGTCAAATGAAGTTTCATGAACCATTTGCTGCATTTTATGACCCCACTAGATGGTGCTCTTGGTTTACTTTTGGTCATGCTTTGTGCTCTTTTTTTAACAGAGAACACCATCTAGTGGGGTCAGAAAATACAGCAAATGGTTCATGAAGCTTCATTTGGCCATCACTAGTCTTTACATCGATAATTCCACTAGGTGGTGGCATTTGGGGTAGGAGATGCTGAAATATATGAACAATGTGGCTGTAATATCATTGATAGGTGAGTATTGTTAAAATGGAACGCTTTCTGAAAATTTGCTCTCTGGAAAAATCATCTCAGTGTCTTCAATCCCAAATTGCATTATAAATACATTAATGCCCCTTGAACACTATATAGAAGAGAAAACCAAGTATTGCTAAACACATATATTAACTGCAAAGTTTTACTGTCCCATTTTTCCAGGTGTCCCATTTTCACAATACTCACCTTAGTGATGAGGAAGGAGGTCACATTAACTTATTGGGTGAAGATATATCCAAGCTCACCTTCTTTCCAGCCTCTCTCCTGCCTGCTGTTACCATAGTGATTACAAATGTCAGTGCCTTTACCTCCTCAGTGACCCTTCACACCTATCATAAAATATCATAAGACCCCCGCATCATCCAAGGCAACAGAAGGAATGACCTCTTGTGAGTTCTCCATTGTCTTACTTCAGATACCTAGAGACATGGGTGTCACTAGAACCCTTTTACTGGGGCACATGCTCCAGTATTTATGTGCTGTGCCCCAGTGAAATCTCATGTTCAGCTTAATGTTACACATCCAGGTAATGGGGGATGCTGGGCCTGTGCTACAGCAGAGCTGTCAAGCAATGCTCCTGCTTAGAGGGAAAAAAACCTGATTTTGAGGATAAATCATAAAAATAAGAGGTCAGATACACAGATTGTTCATGCCACTTGCATCCACTGTATCATGAGGGACTGGGACCATAAAGGGACACTTTTAATAAATCATCCTCTGCACAGATCTAGAACTGGAGATGGAAAGTTTGCTTCACTACAGACAGCTGGATTCTGCTTGCCTCGGTTTGTGGAACTCAATGTAAAGAACTCAACTCTAGCATTTTGTTCTACCAGCAGAGAAGCCCTATAGCTATAAAAGTTGACGTGAACAGTGTATCTCATCCTTTCCGCCTGCTTGGCACACGGTGGTGCAGTGTTTCTAAGCTGACAGGGGAATGAGTCTGCAGAGATTTGTGTGTATATGAATCTACGTCTAAAAAGTGTTCCAGTTTTTACCACTTGTCACCATAATAATGCACCGCTTTCCCATCAGCCCTCTAGAGCCCTGGCTGGTAATACACCATTGTCATAACCTGAGATGAATATCCCATGTTACAAAATTTTCAGCAACACATTAGTTTTCCTACACTTAGTTCTGTAGGGACCCATATTTATCCATTGACCTCAATTGGATAAATGGCACAAATATGGATTTGGTGGCTAGATATTTATTAATGCTGACGTTCATTTTTAACAGCTAACATTTCCGAAATGGAAAGACCTTTGTTGGTTTATATAAAAATGCAATGTCATCACTTATTTGTACAAACTAAGTGTGATTGCTCTTTATAGGGGCTTACGGTATTTATCCTTTCTGAATAGAAGCTACCTCACTGCATGGCAGCAATACTATATTCCATTTACCGCCCTTTCAGGACTGGGACTAAGTACTGTTTGAAGGGGTCTGATTCATTATGTAATTCTTCACTTGGGAAACAAGCCCCTGCTTTTATAATGGGTGTGACATTTCATATAACAAAGTTACCTAACAGTACGATGCATAACTGTTATTTATCTTGTATATGATCTGTGTTTATGTCTGCACGTCTTTAGCTGGAGGTTACAGAATTGAAGTTGCTATACACTGGGAGTCTGCTGTAACACTGAATAATGTAGCGCTCTTGAATTTTTGAAGAATCGTCTCAGCATAATCATGGCTCTGCTGTTGCAGAAAACAGTATATCAACATTTAATAAAGGGAGTGTCGCTGTGGATTTAACAAAATTACTTTGGCTGAGTACGGAACTTGACTTCAGGATTGAATAATCTTTAGTCTAAACTTAAAAAAATTGGATTAGTGCAGAATCTACTCATCATATATTTTCATCTTCATGTTTTACATATTTAAAAGAAATCGGAGAACAGCAGATTCTTCAATACAATCAGGTTTTGAATTTCCTGAAAATCCCAGGATTAAAATTACTTTGTGCATCCTGACAGTGAAAGTTATAAATAATAGGTATAAAAAAGGGCTGAATGGCGTAAAAAGTAAGCAATTCGTACAACCAAACATTTGTAACCCACTGTACGAGGCTCCAGACTATCAATCCGTAATAGAATAATCGCATAAAGGGTGCGTGGATGGACAGGGTAACTTAAGCTCAGGCACTATCGAAGACACCCCTGGGGTATGAACGGCCCTCCACGGATACCTGAGGACCTCCGCATGGCGTCCTTAGAAACGGAATACTTAAGGTTGTGTCTAAGGAGACCAGGTTAAACTATTTGACAAAGGTGTTAGTATCTACGTTTAGGATCTTAATTATGGGTGTTAAAAAATAACTGATTAGTTGTTAGTTCATTGTTATTATAAATGAGGCGCACACTGCCAAAAGTGTTTGTATTGTTCCACTTGATCGCAATATATCTTTATTTTGTTTTTCACATTTTATTTGCTTTTTGTGGAGAGTTGGTTGATTTATTGGGCGTTTGATATTGACGTAGACAGTGTAAGTCGAATCACACGAGGATGTCTGCATCTGTTAAACCAAGCCCGTCACCTCCAGCTCTGCCGAAGCCAGCGGGACTGAGGGTTAAAATCAATACAGCGGCTCCGTTGATCGGAGAATCCGAAAGAGGTAAAATGTACAATTCGAAAGTTACCAAATCACAGGGAAACAGGAACAATATAGCGCGTTTATTTTAATATTAGGGTAAATATTTCAGTTAAACAACATTTGCTATCATTTAATAAAAGACAATTGCAGATTTAAATAGAAAATACGCATTAAAAGAATAGGTGTGCTGAAAGCCTGATATTGTTTTCCATGGGAACTCGTGTGCTCCGGGGTGTATGTGTGCCTACATGGTTCAGATTTAGCTTGTTCCCTCAGCCCGGAGAGAGAAGACGGCCTCTGGGGATCGGTCCAGCCTGCAGCTCCCGTCCCTACGCTATGATTTCATTCCCGATGAGCTGCTCAACTCGCTCATTTCTACGGTGAATCCCTTGGAGACATGCAGATCCTCCAGAGTCACCAGGAAAGGCTTCAGGGTTTGTGTAGACACACGTACATCTGTGTTTGTTGAATTTACAGGTCGTTAGTTAGAAGGTAATCAGTTAATTGTGATCTGGACTTATTTCGATTTTTTTTTCTTCTGGGCCCCCTATTAAACCCCCAGACCTCCCTTATTTAAATCCATGGTGACGATATGGTGAATTTTATTCATTACATAGAAAGACGTTTAAAACATGCAACAAAATCAAGCTGAGTTGTTTGGAAAAACTGATACTGTCCAGCAGCTCAGCGAATGACGGTTTTTATGCGTCCAGGTCCGTGGTTTGCACAAAACAGATGCAGCCTGGTACCACGCATTTGGGAGAAAGAAATACAAGTATTTTCTGGACCAACCGACTTCCGTGACCGGAGCTGGGAGGTAATGATATACATGTCCCCGTTTAAGATGAGTGACGCCAAATGTCCTCCATGGCATCGAAATACCAGCTCCTGTACAGATCTGTAGACTCCTATACATCGTATTTCCGATGCATGACATTTTTATGTTTATTGCGTTACTCGCTGGTTTGATTAACCTCATCACCCAGTTGTTTTTTTAAATGTCCCCTCATTTTTAATTTTTAATCAATCTTTTTATGATGAAATGTCTGTGTATACTCAGAGATATCTCCTTCCTACGCGACGCCATATCTGCGCAGAAGAAAGTGAGTCTTCTGCCCCCGGTGGCAGACCTGGGAAGCGTCCAGAAGGCAAGCTCAATCGGAGGTCAACGGGAATCGTTTGTCCTGCTGAGGACTCAAATGATGAAAAGTTCTATTCGCAGGGGAGCATGTGAAAACGGTGCACTGTGATATTCTTGGAGTCACGGCCTAATTCTGTCTATATTATTTACTTACCCGTGGTAACACTTTGGTCTGTGAGAAAAAAATAATCACTGGATGTCAAAAATAGTGCTCTAAGGTGTTATTTACAGATGTCTTTGCTTTGTAATTTTAGGATGTAAACCTGATGGGGAGTCTGATACCAGAGGAGTATCACATTGTGAAGAACAAAGGCGTAGTTGGCCTGACATACTATGAGGAGTGGGTGGATATCGTCATAACTTATCCTTGACGAAGAACCTGTTTGTGTGTATATTTGCCATTTATTTGTTTTAATCTTCTCCATTTCCCTGTCTAGCAAATACACCATCCTTCTGGAGGATGAGGAGAACAGGCTGAAGATCTTCCCATCACTGTGAGTAGAGATGTCACTGGATTATATGTCAGTAGATTCCTCAAACAAGCAGCAGGTGGCACCACAGAGACTGCAGCCTCAACTACCACCCGCACCCCTTCCACAACCACCCCAAAAGTTGGGCCTGTTTGTTATTTCCTGTCACTTACAATGAAGGCTTTGCCAAAGGCAGTGAGGTGACAAAAATGGCAACTGACAGCAACAGAACATCCTTTGAATCTTCAGGAAGCCCAGCGGGAGAGTGGAAGCGGTACAGCTGATGAGGGTGATGGATGCCATGCTGGACAAGGCTGGGGTCAATCAGGACTTTCCAGAGCTGAGGGAGTCCTCACAGGTTATCATTCAGAGCCATCCAGGTTGCCTTTATTCCCAACTCCCCAATTTTGGTGTGAAAATCCAAAATTCCTAACCTAAAATGTGTATATCAGTCTACCTCAGTATGGAAACCACTGTCATGTCAACATGGTTATGAATATACACGTGTGCAGAATTATTAGGTAAGTACTATTCCTGGAAATAATTTTAGCAAAAGTCAGGCAGACTTATGAAAATGAATTCAGAAGTTTTCTTTTGGTTCAAGTAAATTATTTTAGAGAGAAAATGTTACATTAGTCTATCACAAAAAAAAACACTTGATTATCAGTGTGCACAATTATTAGGCAATTGAAATTTTGGATTTTATATAGTGATTATATAGTGGATTTTTCTCTTCACCATCAACAGAAAAAATAATAAAAACAATCTTAGTTATTCAGTCTATATAAGGAATGACAAACTGTTCTATACCGTCCACTTCATGGCATTTAATGTCCTGTACAGCCACCTTTCTTCTCAGTGATCATCATTAGCCTGTTGTCCTTTGAACCAGTCAAGTTTTTGATTTGATTCTGTCCTATATTAGCTGAGCCAGCTAAGATCACCTCCCAGAAGCTGCTCTAAGCAGGGTACAGCTTGCCCCCTTGGTAAATCTCATACTTTAGTAAGACCCAGTAGCTCTCAATCTCAGGCGCCGAAGGGGACCAGGTCATAATTCAGTCACCTTTCAAGCCTTTCTTAGCCAATCTATGGAATACTCTGATGCATGAGAAGGGGCATTGTCCTGTATGCATACCATAACCTTTTCAAAAGCTGCTGACTTCTTTGTACAAGTGTTTGAAGCAGGTATCATCTATAAGTTGGTAGTAGATCTTGTAGTTAATTTTTACATCTGCAAGTTGTGAAGTTCCGACAAGTTAATCACTGAAACTGCAGCGTGCATCCTTACTCCTCCTCCACCTTGTTGGCGCTTGTAGAAGGTGTCCAACCACTGCCCCATCCATCTGCTCCATTAAGAGTCACCCTCACCTCACCTGTCCATAAAGCCCATGTAAAATCAGTCTTCAGATCTGTCTGTGCCTTACTGAGTTGAGGATGCGTTTCAGCCTGTGTGTCATTAGCAGTGTCACACAGCACACTGCACCTAGTACTTCTGGAGATTCGGTTCAGATTATAGCTTTGAAAAATGGTGGCATTTGATTCTGGAAGTCTCCCCTTTAAATTGACGTGTATCTCAGGCAGGTGTGTCTTCTCTCTACATGTTTCTTCCATCTTCTTTGGCTGTTGGCCACAAAACACTCGATTGTGTGATGATCGCGTTTTAAAAATTTGGCAATTTAGATTATTTTGCATCCCTCTGACAGGCACTTTACTTTTTTCTTTTTTTTCTGCTGTCTAAAGTCCTTTATTGTAGTAATAATAATTGGCTTAATGATTCTTCGTAGGGAAGTATCTATAGTTTCCTTTTTCACTCCAAACAGAAAGTACTCAGATAAAATACTTAGCATGCTCTATTTTTAAACAGGCCTTTCTGAATTAGAAATGACTGGACTGAAACTATTAAACTGGAAGAGGAAATACAAGCAAAATACACAATTGTCTACTAATTCTGCATGCAACGTATGTGTTGTATACCATTTTAGATTTATGCTTTGTCAAAAACAAAATTTTCTGATGATTGATTTGCAGAAATTACTGATGATTTTCTGATGATTGATTGATGTGATTTGCAGAAATTACTTTTCTTTCACTTTGTTAGATGCAGAGTCTTCTGGAGTTAGTGCAGGTGGAGCAGAACATCTATAACATTATCTTCCATGAGGTGATCCGGCAGGTCAGCGTGGAATGTGCGGAGAGAGGGCAGCTACTGTCCAAGCTCAGGTCAGGCGGACTGTCAATGTTGATATCCAACCAGAAATTATAACGTAGGATGCATGGAGAAGTCAGGTTCATATGAACATCTCATGGAGTGTGTATCCGTGGAGCTGAGTGGGATTGGGTCACGGTGTCTGCAGACAGAGGTACGCCGCCCTGCTGGACCGTATCCCACGGCAACTGAAGGGGCTGCACACGCAGAGCCTGGCTCAGCGGGGCCTGGACCGGCGTCTGATGGAGGAGATCACTCGCTTCAAGAGCTCCGTCTCTCAGCTCAGCAAGTGCGTCCTGCTCAAGTTGTGTGTGTTTCTGTCTTTATGCAGCTGTGTAGATAAGATGAGTCAATCTGATGAAGGCTTTCTCAGTGGTGCCCTAGCCAGTACAAGGTGTGCCCTGTATTAGGGGTCCAGGTTTGATTCCCACAGGCCTGGGTTATCAGGCTTGGGGAGCACATGTGGAGCATGTTCTGTTGGGTGGATTAGGTAACGGTATCCCTCTTGTCACTCTACAGTGCCATCTGCTGTCAGATAGGTGTAGAACAGTATGTTGTGTTGCTCAATGAAACCAAAGACATACATTTTTGATCCCAGAGGGAAATTTGTTGCCCACAGCCCACGCACATGTTATGGAAAGTACATACCGGGGCTCTTCAAATGTGGCCCTCAATTCCAAATCCAGGCCTAGTTTTTAGTTCTGCTGGGTAGTTAATTTAATAATGACTGATTCTGATTGGTCAGAGGCTTCACACCTGGCTCACAGGTAAAGGAAGGCAGGAAAATCAGCAGTGCTCGGACCTCGAGGACCGTGATTTGAACAACCCTGGTGTACATTAACACTAAAGCTCCTGAGCCGGTGTGAGTGTAACTTACTGAGTGCCAAACCCTCAAAACTGATGATGTTGACTCAGAGAAAAACTGAACAAATCATCCTGAGCCATTTGTAAGGATGCTCCTGAGTTCTCCATGGAAACGGCTCCCGTTAACATTATCTCGTTCGCTCTTGTTTTGTGTGTGCTGCTATTTGTTTGCTCAAGTGAGCTGAGCAACATGAAGGCCCAAGATGAAAACATGTCAGGACAAGTGGCCAAGGCACAGGAAGATCTGTCCAAGGCACTGGAACAGTCACAGAGGAACTCAGAGTAAGGCATCCAACTGGGAGAGCTTCATACCACGGCACCACGTCTATGAAGCAAACCGACGCTAATGGAGTTTAAATGAATGAAGCTCATTGGATAGGAACCAGGAAGTGATTATATGTGCCGTTCTCTTGCCCTAAGCCTGGTCGCAGAGTACCATCAGCTGTATGAGATGCAGCGCCGGAGGCTGGAGGCCCAGGTGGCCCGGCTAACTGAGGAGAGGAACCTCTGGAGCAGAGTCAGTTACAGTGTGGTTCTTAAGGTGGGATGACCGTCTTAAGTTGGGATGACCGTCTTAAGGTGGGATGACCATCCTGAGCACCTCTGCCCATTTGTCCACTACCTGCATGTGACCCTCACTGACGGACTGATGACTGAGTGCCACCTGGCAGGTGATTGAGGCGAAGAGACTCCAGGTGGCTGACAGGCTGCACGTCAGCGAGCGGACCTGGGCTGAGCTGGCAGAGCACTTTGTCACACTGCTGACGTCCAGGGTGATTCCTTATGCGCTCAGCGCATGCAGCATCGTACTGGGAACTCTACCTTCATCACTGTGACCGTGATGTCACATCCTGCGTCTTGTCTCCCTCTCCCTTTTGAGGACGCGGAGGACATGAACCGCATCCTGCAGTTCACAGACCAGTGGAAAGACTGCGTGCGCGGTTTCGTGCGGGAGATGGAGACAGCCGAACGCAGCCAGCGTGAGGAAATGAGGGCCGTCGGGGCCGGCGTTGCAAAATGGCACCAGTGGTCTCTGGCTAATGTCAAGTGAGTGGGATGTGGGCCTGCCGTTGCCGTGGAGATACTGCTCAAAATACAGCAGCTGACGGTAAGGTTGTTTTTCTTCTGTCTTCATCAGTTGAGATCGTGTTTTCTCTTCTGTAGGGGACTAGACAAGACGCTCAATAAGGAGTCAGAGGAAAGTTTGTTTAATGACCTAAAACACTGGGTGGCAGTAAGTGGCACAAATTGCTTTATTAAGTGTTTTAGTCAAACATACAAAAGACAGATAAAATCTTAATTTACAGCTTGAAAACAGTATTACCTTAAGCGAGCACTGCACTGATAAATCAATTAATCACAGAAAAGTGTTGCTTTTACAGAGACTACTAAGCAAATCAAGCGCAAAGCAAGAACTTTGCAGCTATTGGGTTTGGACTGGTGTCAGGAAGGTGGTCAGACAGGAGCTTGGGGTGATACCTACATAGGAAACAAGGCATGTGACCTGAATTTTAGCAGACATTAAACTTTCTCAGGATAGTGGAGTCCCCCCCCCATACAGTTCTAATATAATATAACAATTTTAGCTGCTGTTTAGTTACTTGTGTCCTCCTGGTTCTTTGTATTCCTACCTCATTGCAAACTCTTTCCAGGCGTTAAACCTGCAAAGTGACCTTTACGGAGGCAGCGACCTTCGCTTCCAGGAGACCCTGGACTTGCTGTCGCAGCTGCATGAGGGATGGCTGGAGGTGGGCTTGCGGCTTTTTAAGAGGCACCTTCAGCCCGACGGGCAGCCCCCTGTGGGGTGGCGAGCCATGCAGAATCTGAATGCGACTATCTCAGAGCTGCACGTGCAGCTGGGCACTCGTGCTGCTGGGGAGAGCGGTGAGAGTTTCCCTGGTTCTCTGGATGGCATTATGATTGGTGATCCTTCTTGGTTGCTCTTTCCACCGATGCTGCGTTATCTGTCCCACCATACCATCCCAGGTGTCCGCAGGCTGCTGTTATCTCTAGCCAGCATGATGGAGCCCTGGGCTGCCAAGCTAACGGCAGCGAGTGATTGGCCAGGAGGCATGCCCCCTTGTGATTGGTTGCAGCTGGAGAAGGCTCTGGCCAATTGGACAAAGCTAACAGAAGGAGGCCTGGAGCAAGTGTCCAGGACCCAGCCAGGGAGCGAGAAGCCGAGTCCCCACATCAGGTATCGGAGCGGGACGGGGAGAGGGAAGTGTGCTAACCTTAAGATGCCATTACAGTAAATGTGATTCTGCTCTTTCGCGTTCCACCTGGCAGGATCAATGTTCATGAGGTTCTCGCTGTGCTACGTGAGTTTGTCTTCACGCAAAGCAGCTTTTTTGACTGCGAAAACCAAAAGCTAAGTGAGGAGGTACAGCACTGTACAGATTTAGTCATTCAGCCAGCCTGGGTTGGGTGACGTCCATGATTATTTTTCATCATTTTGTTGTTTGTGGTTGATGGCAGGTGATCTCCATCCACACCTCCCTGACCCGCTGGATGGTAGCCCTGCTTCTCCTTATGGTTCCCAATTGCACCAGTGACCTCGAGGCACCCCAGTTACCAGGCCCCGAACGAGACAGTTATCCTCTCACAGTACAGGAGTTGGAGGAGGATGCCAGATGCATCGTGCAAAAGCTGGACAGATTCTCCAAGTATCTCATCAAGTATGATATCCCAAAAGTCAATTAGCACGAATAGCTAAATTCAGCCTGAATAAATTGTGTTAGTATGAAATTTAAGTTATCATGGCTCTGTTTCTCAAGAGACGGGGATAAACTAAACCGGTAAGGACTGATATCTGAATTAATAAGAGCACAGCAAACAGGGCACCCCATTATACAGTATATAAGTACTGAAGATGAGGTATGAACAGAAAAAATGTGACCCTATAACCTCGATCACCTGACTCTATATGCCTATATGCCCCAGCCTTCAACCTAAAACTACAGAAATTCAGAATTTGTTCATTTTTCTGCATTTCTAAAATGTTCTATCAAGGTCGCAAACACAGTTCGAATATTAAAGATTGAGAAGTAAAATTTGCAGATACTTTGTTTTAGTGGTTACTTTCTAATAAACACATTATAGCCACTCTGGTTCAGACAGACAGAAAAATGTACATTTAATTAGCACGATAATCTATGTATAAAGCAAATAGCTATAGCTCCCCTCTGCACAACTCGAACAAGACTTGTGCAACAAAGAGAAAACTATATAATACACAGAACACCTTGTGCAAATGTTTGGCCCGGATACCTCTGAATCTCCAGGTGCTGCAGATCCAATGGGTTTCACTGACCTGTAGCACAGGTGGCCGTATTTTTAGACTATCTGCAGAATACTTTCTTTCAGAGTGGGTGCCACCTGCTGGAGGGTATGAAAATTAGACTATAAACCAGGTACTGTTGGGGGAGCATTTCTAGTTTAGGGAAGAATTTTTGCAACGCACTCATTTGTGGTGTTTTGCTTGTCTAACCTGTCATCCTGCTATCTCCAGTAAAGTATTTTTACACAGCATTTGAGACATAAGTTTTCCGAATATTTTACCTTAAAAATGTATTCAAACGTTGTAAATAGCTTGAGTTTCTTTGGCATGTTGTGATTTATCATATCAAAGGCAGAACTTTATTTTCACTTTGTACAACTGACAGATTTATCCCAGCTTGGCATTTTACTCAGCCATTAAATGCTTGATTAATATGAATTGAACTATACTTTTTCATGCTCTTTTCAGAGACAGGTCAGATCTTTCATGTATTCGTTCTTGTTGACTTTTTAAAATCTTAGACAGTTTTATACAGCAGCAGAGAATTCTGGGACGAATCAGGCAGGAAAAAACAAGCCATCTGCTACATTTCGTCTCTTTTTTGTTTTTAAAGTATAAAGTGTCCCTGTAACAAATGACAATCTAGCAGGTTGTCCTCTGCCTTGTACCCTGTGTTTCCAAAATAGGATGCAGGCTCACTGTGATCGAGTTGGATAAACAGTTATGGAAAGAGGATCATATATCCCAGATGCAAGTATGTGTTTAGTAAGTGAAACTGGTAAATGGAGGAATTAAGAAAGGCTATCAGATCTCTTTGTCACACAGCTTATATCAACCTGTCATTGAAGAGGACATCCAAAGGGGAATGGGGGATGAGTCAGCAAGTCAGCTTGTTGAGCTCAAAACATTACAGGTACTGACTCTTACAAGGGGGGTGGGACTACTGCACACTGTCAATCACTGCCTAGTTTTATCCAATGGGAACCAAGTAATCTCAGGGAAGTGTTTAAATCCATTTTTGACAGTGATGATCCCTGCCCACAGTGGCCTTTGAAGCCTCAGTTCCCTCATTGCTACATTATACTGCTATATAGTATCTGTATTACCACATTATATACTACACACGTGTTTTTATTTACCTCTATGTCTGCACTTTATCCTTTTTGATTGGCTGTGATGCTTAGCGGGAGTGTGGAGAGTGGATAGACACGTGTCAGATCCTGCTGTCAGATCTGAGGGGACATCCGGTGGACCTGCAGGTGACCACGACCGTCGCCAAGGCTGTGACAGAATCCATCGGCGATGTCCTTCCCGCCGTAGAGTCCCACAAAGAATTGTTGGTGAGATTCTAATAATCATTGCTACTTGCGGCTGTTTGTGAATGTTGGGACAGAGCCAATTCCAGCGTCCGTGTCATCAGGTGGATCAAGTGACGGGGTCATCTGCAGCCTTGGAGCTGGGAGGAGCAGTGCTGGGAGAGGTCAGTCATTGTGGGAAGTGTGGTGAGAACACTGTACTGGTCAGCTGACATGGTCAGTTACTGGTGCACGCCTCTGAGCACTTTTCATAGACCCTAAAGCTGATGCTAAAAGTCTTTGCGCCACCATGTTTGTCTTCTTTTGTCCAGCAGGAGGTTCCAGATAGTCCAGAAGAAGCAGCCCATCTGAGGCTGATTGGTCATGACGGCGACATTGTTGAAAAGAGCCTGGGGGCAGAAACTGTACTGCTGGCGGGGGTGAGGGATATGGGGGCTCATGTATACAACTGTAGCCTTGTTTTAGGGTCACTGTGGTTCATTTGCAGAACTGTAGCAGCAAAACTGTATATTTTGGACCAATTTAATTGTAACTAACACTGCTTTCAAGGCACATGAGTTGCAATTCCTCGAAAAGCTTTCCATCCATTAATCAGACAACTCTCCAAATTGTCATGGAGTGAAATACTCTCAGTAGAATGCAAAATACAAAATTTGTTTACCATGTGCATGTAAGTTCCTACAGGAAGAACCAGGTACCCAAACATGACGTAGCCAACAAAGACAGTAGTGCTATTTCTGACAGAAAGACGCCTTGTTGACATATCTGTCACTGGGCTGTACAAAGACAGGACATCTCTGCACAGTAATAAGTGTGGGTCACCCAAACGGAGGTGACTCAAAGCCTTGGTGTCGCAAGAGCTTGGTGTGCAGTCACCTGCCCCCGCAGGAGGTTAGGAACACACTGGCTCCTTCGTAAAAGATTCCTTCAATCATTTATATGTCACATTTGGCAGTTCATAAATTTTAAAAAAATATAAATACTGTATGTATCCACCCCTCTTCCATGATGGCTTATCTAGTACAGGGGTAGAGTTACCTTGGAATGGGAAACATGGGAGACAGCATCCATTACACGGCACACACACACACACACACACACACACACACACACACACAGAGACAGACTGTGGGCAATGTAAATACGTTGCTTTGCTTAACTCCATGCTTTTTAGACAATGGGAGCATATCTTCATAAACATGGAGAGAACGTTTATGTCCCACAAGCAATGAGGGGGGTGGGAATCTAACCCCCAGCCCTGCAGGTGTAAGGTAGCAGGTTACAGTGCATCTGTGCCGCATTAGAAATAGATATAAATACAATAATTTAGTGGTTTCTTTGTTCGTCAGTCAGAGTGTGACGAGATGACGAGAGCTGACGGACTCTTCTCTCTCAGACGGAGACCCAGGTCATGCGCCCACAGACTCCCAGTGCACAGAGAGCCTTTGATGCCTTGGACACCATTGGGCTGCTCCAGCAGCAGTTACTGTAAGAGCCGTCTCTACCTTACAGGTGCTGGTGTGTGTGTGTGCGTGTGTGTGTGTGTGTGTGTGTGTAATTGCTCATATCAGTCTGGGCTCGCATATCCACACCAGAGGGGCAGAGCAGCGGGCCCTAAGTGCGGAAGAACGGGCCCTGAGCGCGGAGGAGTCGCTGCAGGCTGCACTGGTCAGGATCCATGAACTGGAGCAGCAGATTCAGGGAGGAGGTGCCATGGAGGAGAGAGGTGAGCCAGAGCACTGCACCTCACACTAAACTTCCTCATCCAATCAGGTGAGAAGGACACACAGGGTGAGAGACGCCGTCCTCATTAGTGAGACCACCTCATCCAATCAGGTGAGGAGGACACACAGGGCGCGAGACACTCCCTTCCAATCAGGTGAGTTGGACACGCTAGCCAAGAGACGCCATCCTCTTTAGCGATACCCTCTCATCAAATCGGGTGAGGAGGATACACAGGGCAAGAGACGCCGTCCTCATTAGTAAGACCTCCTCATCCAATCAGGTGAGAAAAACACACAGGGCAATAGATGCCGTCATCATTAGCGAGACCTGCTCATCCAATCAGGTAAGGAGGACACACAGGGCGAGAGACGCCCTCCTCATTAGCAAGACCTGTAAATGGTGGCTCTGGGCGGGTTTAACTCTGTTAAACTCTGTTTTTGTGAGATCAATTTATTCAGAGATTTTATATTATTGGCAATTATTCACATTATACATCTACTGTTCACATGTGATTAAACGGGCCTCTCGTCTCCGATACTATACCCAGGGACGTCCCATCCGACATAATGAACCTGTAAACTGTAATGCAGTAATTAGTTTTTTTCTTTGAATTAACTATTACATTAAAGAATGGGCCCAAATACACAAGTTTATAAAACCAGTTATGTAAAATGAGCATACACAAATAAGCCATAACATAACATTATTCAGGTTAATGTAAGCAAACAGTTTACATATATGTGCCTTAGTGTAGGTTCCTTCCCCCTGGCGTCCATGTAACAGACCACTGAAAAGTCAATGAAATACCATTATGAGTTGATTCACATGATGGAAGAAATATTGGCTGGTGGCAAAGATATTTAAGGGGAACCTTCGCGATTGAAGTCAAAATATTCAAGGGGGAGTATTAAAGTCTCCCCCCGCCCCTAGTCCTTATTTCATAGTTACTTATGAGTACATGGATTCACAGTAGGGTCTCTAGCTCTGCTCCATTTTAAGGTCAAAAATAGCTAAAAGCCTGAACTGACTTGTTTTACAGATGACAGTGTTTTGGCACCAGTAACTAATGGAGAGTCTCCTGACCCCAAACCAGCAAGTGCAAAGACAAAAAGCAGGAGGCCAAAGCTGGCGCAGAAGCCCTGATCTCCATTGTCAGGCCACAGGACTCTCCGGAAGACACTAATCCCAGTGTTATGGAGCAGTAAACATTCATTGTACCAGAACAGCACACCATTCATCCAAAGTTTGTAAGTCTGTAGGTTGGTGTTCTGTAATATGACTTTTTCTTCTAAATTATTTGGTATATATTTTCTTAACCCACAATATGAGCTCAGCAGATGAGGAATCTATGAATGAGAAGCATAAACTGTCAACAAATTCATATGTAAGTTTATTTGATTTTTTTTTTGTATAGCATTATAGTCACAATGGGGAAAGCAAAAAAAAAGTACACAGAGAGCCCAGCATAAAGCATTTTTACGGCTTCTGTCTTTAGATGTGTTGATGGTTGATGAAGTGTGATAATATTCCTCAGGAATTTTACAGTGACTCAAAATATTTATAAAACACCCAGAGAAACAATAAAGCATCGATCCATCCTTTTCCCATAGCTGCAGTGATGTGGACCATGTCTTTCCTGGGAAATATGGGCCATAACTCAGGGCACTCCCTGGTCAGGATGCCTGCCTGGCTGAGATCCCTCATGCATTAATTCCCACAGTCACACACAGTTTGCAGTCCCTGATTCACCTGAATGGCGCATTTCAATCCATGAGTGAAACAGCGCCACCTGCAGGACACCCAAGAAAACCATTTTTATTTTTGCTTATTTCTGTTCTGTCTAGGATTGGGCTTTAATGCGTGAAAGTGGAACAGGATGCAGTTTACATCATGGGGGAGTCTGTATGGGACGTCTTTGTGGGGTCGTCGTCTGTGGGCGTGGCCGGAGGTAGACCGAGGGTGGGGGACACATCAGGGCGCAGGGTCATGAGGTCGGAGGGCAGGTTGAGGACAAGGGCCGGGTGGTCTGTGCGCAGGGTGTGCAGGAGCTGCAGCAGGCGCAGGTGGACTGCAGCCGGGGATCCCGACAACGTATCTATGGAGGCCTTGAGGGCTTCACAGACCGCTCTCTCTCCTTCTGCTGCGATGACCTGCCGATATACAGGTGGGAAGGATCTAATACACACCTCCAAAGCAAGTCCTTATTAAAAAAATTAAGTGCTCAAAAATTTAAATAATAGTTCTAATCTGGAAACAATAAACAAATCCTCTCCTTGGAGACCCACAGACCAGATATATTTGCTTCCTCCCAGCTCCAAGTAGGGAGCAAAAAATGTGGACTGTGCTGGCTGGGAACTGGGAGGGAGCAAAAACAAGGACCAGCTGTGGGTCTCCGAGGACCGGATTGGGAAACACTGCACTAAGTGATCTTTTAAAATTTGTTATTAAGAAAATTACCACAATATGATAGTGTAAGAGGTGAAGGCCAGCAGCCTTTAGGATGAGTTGTTACTTTTTAACAAACAGCCTCTTATCGCTAATTATTCATCCACTGCTCTTTAATTTAGCTAACGTTAAGGTCAGCCGGGTAAAAGAGTGGCACTCCACGGGGGGGTCTCTTACTTTGATCTGGGCCAGCCGCCTGGCCTCCGCCTCCGCGGCCACACTGCGCTGGAGCTCGGCGGGGATGCGGACATCCTCTCTGAGACATGTGGGGCAGACAGCGAAACCAGTCAGGGCCCGCACCATTAAAGAGACGCCATTACTGTCGCTCAGTGTTAGGGGCTCTCTGTTTGTGACACTTACATTTCTGCTCTCTCAACCTTGATTCCCCACTTAGAGGTAACGGCGTCCAGAGCCACCTGGGTCGTGAAGTACAAAGGTGGATGTGTAGCTTTACTTTACAATCTCTATGTCCTGCTGAAACCTCTTATTATCATCCATCATTTTTCTAAGCGGGACACCAGGACAAAGTCAAGCAGAGCTGGATGCTCGCCCTGGAACCAGAGCCCAGAAATAAACGCAAACTTCATGTCCTGTTATGTAATGCTTCATATCCTAGTCCCCATCACACTTTTAGAAGCACGTCCGCCCTTGAGGTAGCCAACAACTTGAGAGGCCCTCGCGCAGAACCGCGTGGAACCCGAGGCACCTGGATTTCCTTGGTGATGTCCTTCCTGTCGAGCAGAATCTGGTTGAAGGTGCGGTGAGCCAGGACCTCTCTGTCGGTGAGCTGGACGAGCGCCTGCAGCATGGAGGAGACTCCGGAGAGCACCGTGAAGCAGAGCGACACATTCTCTACGCGGTAATAGCAGGCGGAGCTCAGCTCTGTACTCACCAAGTCCTTCGTCACCACCTGGGCACCAGATGGCAGAGGTTATAACATCACATCAGTGTTTTCAGTAACTTTCGGTGAGTGTTTTGAGTCCTGTTTGCGGAAGGAGCTGCTCATTACCGTGTGAACGGGAACTTTCAGCATTTTCAACCGAATGTCGACTTTCTGGCACACATCTAAAAACGGGATGTAGAACAGGAGTCCTAGACACCAGCCATTGAGAGTGAAGGAGACATAAACTTTGTTACTTTGATATTAGCTCAGAATAGTCTATTATGCTCATATTCTTTGCAGAAAAATCCCCCAGAGAGATTTAAGTGATGATTCACTGTGGTTAGATGAACTACAGGCCTTTGGTAGAAAGCAGTGTAGTTGCCCATCATGAAAAATGATGAAAGCTGTTGATGAATAAACTGAGATCTCTTGAATATTTGAAGTTTTATTAAAGTAATGACACCTGGTCCTCTAGGCCTTCCCTGCAGTAGGTGTCCCAGTCTGAAGATCACTGCTCGTTCATGCTCTCTGACTACCTGTGAATTCACATAGTTCAAAAGTAAGAGCTTAACATTTATAATTTATATTTAGATTTTAATTTATGGTAAAAACAAATAAATCTTACCATCACGCAGAGCCAGATGGACAGGGGAAAGGAAAGGATTATGATGACAACTGCTAAAATGATGAGGAGCCATTCACAAATACCCAGAGTCCTTTGCTTTAAGCCTGTGAATGACCATCGGCAGAAGTGTAAACGACCGTGTGACTGTTGGTTTTTCGACTGCATGTCCTGCTCATGCATCTCAGACCTACCATCCTCATGCTGCTCCCACTGTAGAAGCCCGAGCGCCTCCTCCGCCTCCTCTTCCTCCTCGGTGTCCCTCACGCTATCCACGTTGATGACTGTGGAGTTCCCCTTCACTTTTTTCTCCTCCGACTGCCCCGGCGGGGCGACGGCCTCCTCGCTTTCCGTGCCCATCACCTCTTTCTTCCTCACTGGCACCGTTGGCTTTGCCGCCTTGCCATGTCTGTGTCGCCTTTCCCGTAAGGTGGCGGAGTTGTCCTTCTTGGGCCCTCTTCTTGCCTTTGAAGAGGAGCGAGAGGAGGCCACTTTTGTGTTTCTCTCCACCCTGACCGTTGTCTCCATGGAAAGGTAAGGATGAAATTAGACCTCGATGAAGGAGACTCAAAGACCAGATTCCTGGGTGGAGGAGGCTTGTGAGACTTATCAGATTCTTGGATTTTTATTTTTTACCAATGTGCCACTTCTTTGTATGTCCTGCTCATCTGTTGGGAGTGTTTGAAAGTGAACAGAAGCTGGAGTATTTAAGGGAAGGTGGGGATGGGGGGGGGGGTCTTGTCAATGGAGGGTGTGGGAGGATCACATTGTAACACAGGATGCACTACTGAAGTACATCTTAATGAGAGAACACCTTCTGAAGCTCAGGAATAACCTGCAAAATTGCAAGTCATAAACACATCCAGGGATGGAAAAAAATTCTAAGTCATATTTTTGTACACTTAAAGCTTAGTGAAAAAAATTGAGAAGCCAAATAAGATGATAAAATGGGTATGTGGTGTTTAAAGTCCCTTTATTATTCACTAAATGTGACATTATAGACAGGCTGTTTGTGCATTTATCTCCTATACATGTATTAGTTCTGCCCCAGGAGTTACTGTGTGGGTCTGCGAGGAATTTGCAGTGTCAGAATGTATTCCTTGAAAGAAGCTGATCTTTGGGTTCTCTGTTATGGGAGCTGTAGAGTACCAGGCCCTCCCCAACACCATCTTAATTAAAACACAAGCAGATGAACTGGCCTGCATTTTCTCAAAATCAGTAACTTAAATGACCCAGTTCTTAAAACATTTTTTCAGGTATCTATGGCTATACAGTGGTATCAAAAAACATGTGATACTTTATGTACTTCTAGCTAGAGGCTAAAGCTAACAAAGAGAATGAATGAGTCTGAGTGATTCATTCTCATTGAATTGATTTATTCTGTATGGAAAAGGAAATGGAGCCAAAATTTCAAACTTTACCTTAAAAATCATTACCAGTATTGAACATTGGGGTGGAGGTTTTACCAAAAGGCAGGGCAACAGAATTTAACAAAAAAGTAGTTTATTGCTGAAAAAATTACATAAAATTGGGAAGAGGTCTGATCAAGAAAAACAGGAAATTGAAAAGACTGCAATGGATCTTTTGAAACCCAAAACCAGTGTACATGTTGAACAAGGCTACCTCCCCATTTGGCTCAGCCTTTACAAGCCCCTAACAAGCTAATTAGTCCAATCAGAGCCAGCTGGGTTTCATTAGCACAGGCATCTGTGGGCACAGAGGATGGTGATCAGTTGCCATGGAAATGTCACCAACCACCCAGAGCCGGTCCCGTGACGTTGCTCTGCCTCTCAGGGGCTCAGATCCGCGCTGCGAGGACCATGCCAAAAAAGGAGCTTTGAAAACAGAGGCAGGGGTCCATTATCCTGTCTGAAAGATGTGGGAAAAACAGATAATGTTATACCGCTCCGAAATTGGACCGAGAGAAAACAAACATTTTTTTTATGGTTTCCCAGCACCTCCCCGCAGAGAGAGGAAGACTGTGGCTGTCCCAGTAAAAAGACCTACACGCCAAACGAGAGGAAGAGGATGGGTGAGACAGTGAGACAGCGAAAGCTTTAAGATCCCTGCAGCCCGAACCAAGCTCCTGCAAACAGGAAACCTGCTGCAGACAGTTCGATGGCAGGCAGCTATTTTAGGCGCAGTGTCCCGCAACATTTAGAAATGCGTGCTGATAAGCAGGGGAAGGAGGCAAGCAGCCGGTAAATAAGCTGCCGCATGCAGCGCCATCGCAAAAGGGCCTCGGCCCGGCTGACGCAGGCCGCATACTAATGCGCCACAGTCCCCGCTTCTCGGCGTGAATGCAGTGCCTGCTCTCGCAAATGCTGAGTGTCGTGTCGCCGCCGCATGTGGTCCGAGAAGATGAGAAAGAACAAGAGCATCTGCTTCAGAGGTTCTTCCTCCAGCTGGAGGACGTGGGCGAATCAGGGCCTGGACCAAAGATAACAGGTTAAAGACGATCAATACAGCTGTTTTATAGCTATTATGCGGTGACAGAACTAACCTGTTACCTGAGGCATCTGAAGAGGGCGCTGTTTCACGAGGAAGTCAACCACGCACTGCTGTAAATGTATAGTAGATGGGCGTTTTAGAAGTGAAGCTAGGGCCCTTCAGGAAGGGCGTGGCAGTGAAATGGCTCCTGGGAGGGACCAGCAGGGAGGGGGGCAGTTTATATTTAGATTTAACTACTAAAATGATGCTTTAATTCAAAGTGATCTGCAATTTTTTCCATTAACATTGAGGTAGATTTGTAGGCTCAACCAAGACTTACGCAAGTAACCTTCCAGTGACGTGATAAATATAACTGTGGAAGGTGGGGGAGCACAGAGCCCCTCTGCAATGACATAAATCTTACACAACCGTGTAATTTCTACAAAACAATATTTAACAATGTAATGGAGCACAAAAAATACAATAAAATCATATATAAGTATTTGTAATGTACATGTAATGTTTTGTGGGTTGGGAATTTCAAATGTTCATGATTGTTAGTACCCACCAATTACTTGATTGAATGACACGTACAGTGGGTCTTTACAAAAGGAACCTTTCGACGGTAGGAGAATGGCGGGGTTACCAACTTTGGTCAGCTGGCTGGAGTGAGATTTTCAATTCGAGACAACTCTGCACACACATGTTCGGGCACGCGCCTGGTGACCTACACTAGCTGAGGTTAGGTGCCCGTTTCAAGAGTTAAAACGATTCATTCTAAATTCTAAGATTAAAACTTGCAATCTTTGCACACGTCACACAGATTCATAAAGCATGTTACAATTTGTGGCAGGCAACCCACTCACCCCGTTACATCAGAAACGTAACTTCCATCTTTTAAATACAGCAGTAATACACAGTACAGGTTGGGTAGGTAAGTTTCTGCGTTGCCTGTTAATGTATCCGGCCCAATCACCTTTGGCCGACGGCACCACGTGATCGCGCTCCACGCGCGTGGAAGGTGCACGGTGCGCATCACGTTAGCAGCGACCTGTGTTATGGCTGTCTTTACGTTTTACTCATTTTCTGTGCGATTTCACTGCCCCTAAAGTACTGGCTCGCCTACAAAATTAATAGTCAATCAGTCTCAGAAAACGCTGCACTTTAGTGGACACCGCACAGGTTCGGTGTTTGTTTTTACATCTCAGATTTATAGTGCATTAACTGATTAAGCGAAATTATTTTCTTTTCAGCGCTTTGACTTTCAGTGCGTGACTTACTGCGTGAGTTTTAACGGGTCATTTTCGAGCAATCCCGTAGCAATGACAAATAAAGCGTACGGTATCTTGCGGTCACGCTGTATTGAACAATTGTTAATAATCGTAATAATACCCACAGTTCAATTTTACCTCACACAGATTAAATTGCAAGTTAAAATATCAAAAAAGGGTTAGAACTATCTAGTATCTGTATTGATCAGTTCTACATTTTTAGTAGACGCTGACCTGAAGACGTGTTTTAATCTACACGCAATCTTGAAACGCAGTTTAAAAATCCGTTAATAAAGATTTAATTCAAAGAGCTACTGGAACATTTGCTATTTTGTAATCGAAGCTTTAGTTCGGTCTGTCCCCTTTACATATTACTCAGTGGCCTCCTGTCTCTTACCCGCAGTCAGAATGGCGCAGGAGAAGTTGATTGAGGCGCTGAAGAAAGATGTGCGCTCCCTCCTAGTGTCGGCTAAGGGTGGCCTGGCCCTGGAGCATCTGAAGCGCGACTACCTGAAGATGCTAGGCCACCCCCTGCCCCTCGTGGCCCTGGGCTACCGTAATGTGTTAGACATGGTGCGGGACATGCCGGACGTGGTGGCACTGAGCTGCTCCGACGACGGCACCACGCTGCTAAGAGGTAACGTGCTGCTCATATCTGGATGCATGTCGCCTGCCTGAGCGCATCTACACTGGTGGCCAAAATTGTGGGAACACCGAGCATTTTTGGCATCACTTTAAAAATTACTACACGAATATTGGCGATAATATTTATTAACAGTCAAAGAATGTTTACAAATATCATACATTGGATGATTAAATAAGTAACCGGAGCAACAGATGAATAAATTCTCTAGAACTGGAAATTTTTCCAGTTTTGGCCACTAGTGTGTGTTAAGCTTGTTAACTGGCTTTGTATTCCATAATGTAGTACTGCCAGAGGTGGGTAGTTAAGGTCCCAAGAGTATAAGTCCAGACCAAGATTTTATTTCAACCCACCAGTTGAGTACTCTGTGACTGTGACTCTTTATACTCAACTAGTTGGTGGAAACAACAACTTGGTCTGGTTTTTTTTTCTCTGGACCTGAATTACCCACCTCTGATTACTGCTTACAGAAGGATGCCAAGCAATTATCAGAAAGATCGTTGTAAGAATAGCATATATAATGGAGAGTTTCCTAATAGCATCATATTCCTGTAACACCAACGATAGGTGTAAGTCACAATGAAGAAAGATGGGGGAGATGGACTTTATTTGGGTGGGGGTGCAGACTGGTTGCTTGAGAAACAAGCGTTTAGCATCATTATAAATAGATTTCAGCTGTAAGAAGGAACTTGTGTACTGCCTGCCTCAGCCTGGGACGTCCATTTGACCCCCCGATCCCTTTATTTTGCAGCCGTCAGCAATGATAGCACCAAAGGCATGGAACAGCTGGTAGCAAAGCAGCGCAACTCCAAACCTAAGGGGTCTGCGAAGAGGGTAAACGTGTGGCCTGGTTACCATCACCATGCACAGCAAGCCCAAGCCCTGCCCCGTCGCGGCCAGGCACCCCCCGCCATTCCTGCGCAGTTGCGCAGTCAGCTGCGACAGCTGCTTTCTCAGGGGCCGGTCATGCTGTCCGAACTGGAGACTTGTTTCTTTAAGCGCTTCGGTCGGCCGCTGCAGGTGATGCACTACGGCTTCTACTCATTCGCGGAGATGCTGGCGGCGGCCTCAGACTTCGTAGCCATCGAGCAGGGCAGGAAGGGATCGCTGATATCACTTAAGAGTGATACCGGGTCTTTGAACTATGCCCAGAAGTGGACATCGACTGGACTACAGCAAGGACTGACAGCCAAACCCACACAGGACTCAGGTGTGCGCAAGTTTAATATGTATTTAAATCTGAGTTTGTTGATCAGCAGCTGAAAAAGTTGATTTTCATGATTTGTTTGTCTTTTGGGCATTTTTTGTTAGTTTCTTGCAGTGCCCGTTCAGTAGGTTAAGGTCCTTTTCTGTTAATTCTAGTGGTTAAGGATAAATCCAGGCTGTTGAGTAACTGGGCAAGCGGACCGGTTCTTCTACATAAAAGTGGCCCCAGTGTCTCACTGGGAGATGGGAAGCCTCACATCGAGGGTCCTCACTTACAGCCAGAACCTGATCAAGAGGAGAGGGCACTTGAAAATTGCATCGAAAAGGTCCGTCTGCTCGTGATTACTTTGGTTGGACCGTAAGTGATTATTTGGCTAAGGAGCAGGAATCAGCAGGAAGGCGATGAAGGTAGTAATTAAGTCGATTTTGAAATATACAGAGTGGAACATGCAGGAGAGCAGGAGGGACAGGCCCTTGTAGAACGCAGGGTGTGTGTCATGTTGTTGTCGATCACTGACGGTATATTTTACATAGCTGGAAGAGCAGCTTAAGAGTCAGATCCTTGAGTGTGGGGCAGGTGATGCTGTCAGGCCGGAGCTGAAGGAGAAGCTGCGCCAGGTCAGTTGCAGGCCTGAGATTGTCTGTCCTCTTGCCTGGATTTCCTACTTGACCATGTGATGATTATGGCTGTCAAGCTGCATTTTAGCATTCTGACTCCAGGGGTGAATCTCAATACTAAGAATGTTAAGATCGTACTTGCGGTTTTGGCAAGACCGGTCTTGCTAACTTGCCTTCCAGTAACAAAGTTTGGGGCGCAACGAATCTTGGGATTGGTCTCGTTTGGTGAGGATGTAATCGATGTATCCTTGATATTTGGGGCAGAACAAGACCAACATCCGGGGATTTTTATTGTCCTCTGTACTTCTGTTCTTGAGTATTGGAACTGGTCTTAGCAGTGGAATACGATGTAAAACGGGTACACCAGAACACAAAAACGGTGAAGTATGCATATTGAGATTCACCCCAGGTTTTCAGCAGTCATCATAGTGGAGGTACATGGTTAATTATACACTTGTATGCCTTATAATTAGTCAGTGAGTGAAACAAATACGGCTTATACTTGTGATTTAGTATTCCATCAGCACTAATATTTTTCTATGAGTAAAGTGAACTACTCTATCCTGTAGTATTACATACTTTTATATTCACAATAATGATAGAAATGGGTGGATGATTTCAGCTGAATAGGGGGAAGTCAACACTGCAGGAAATACCATTGACCTGCAAAAACAGGAAGCTGACCTGAAACACCTGACCGTGTGTCTCTTGTTACTAAGGGCTCCATGGAAACATTCGATGTTTCTCTTTTATGCATGTTTTTTGTTTTGCACAGACCACCACTTATGTGTGATTTGAGACTTGTTCTGCCAGGTACTCTATGCTGTGAATTGTCTTGCTGACACAGCATTGTGAAGAGCTTTGAAGTGTATATTAGCATTGAGGCTGAGTTTGTTCTGGACAGTATGAACGGAGTGATGAAGGCTTACCACAGGCTGTGTTGCTTCTCACTGAAACCAATGCATTTATTAATAATGAGATTATTTATTAAGAAAACGAAAGTACTGTTATATTTTTAGTCAGGATCAATAAAGTGCATCCATCCATCCATCCATCCATCCATCTATCACAATGTGTTGTACATAGTGCGTGATAGTATAATTTTCCTGATGCTGACATGCTTTTTCAATTCAATTCAATTTGATTTATATAGCGCCTTTCACAACAGAATCCACGTAAGGTGCTTCACATGGGTGTGTTGTGATACATCACAGCATCATTATGAAGAATACAAAAACAGCCCCATTAAAACAAAGTTTTGAAATATTGTCTCAGCCCCATTTTACAGTTCTTCTTGTTTGTTTGTTGTCTCTGTGAAATGTTGAGTACACATTATGCCCCCTACTAAAAGTTTACAACAGGGTAAGCCTACAGTTTGAGTTGGTACAGTATCTTTCTGTAGATAACCGTGAATAGACATACACACAGCCGGTTAACTGATTAGTTAATTAATGATGAGTGATTTATAAAGAGGCAGCTGCAGTAGTAACATAATTGCTAAAAAGTTTGTCGGAAGCTGTGTTGACCCCTAGTGGATGGAGGACTAAAATGGCAGGTCCCTGGTCAGTAAGAAATCCTAGGTCTTTCAGGTAATGCAGTGTAAACTTCTTTCAGGTTGTTGCTCAGAGAAGTGATGGAATATCTATACATGAGCTTCCTGGAGAGTTCAAGGTAAAACACACAACTTCACAAAAGCTCTGTAACAATAGCTGGTGAAAACAGCACATTGCATTAACTTAATTGTTGTAATTATGTATTAATTTTATTTTCAAGTACTGGACTATATTTTGTTGGTACTCACATCTGTGTTGAACTTACTTTAGAAGATGTTTGGGGAGGACCTTCCCATGGCCCAGTGTGGTTTCTTGAGTGTGACAGAGATGGTGGAGGCTCTGAGTGAAACCCTCTACCTGAAGCCTGGATACGGCAAGGAGGGGAACCATTGGATCATCACGGACATCCAACACAGACACAACAGCTCAGGTTCTTCTACCCAAACATTCTCAATCTGTGAGCAAGTCTCAAACTGTAATCCTATTAGTGGACCGAAGAATGTGTAATCTGTCTCAATTGTGGCTGTGCGTGTCTTTGCCAGGGAGAGAGGAAGTTAAAGGCGCCAATGCAATTGAGCCTGCAAAGGATTCAAAACTCTTTAAACGCAGCTACTCCTCCTGTGGGGAGTCTCCTTGGGACGAGAAATATGGTGATAGGCAACTGTCCTCTGAAGTTATGGAGGATGAGACCACCTTCAAAGTTGCCAAAAAGAGTTTTCATCAGGTGAGGTGTGCCCGGACCTCAAAGCCTATCAGTTTTGGTTTTGGTGACATAATCAGTAATGTTTTACATGTTTGTGTGGATCCACGATCAGATGGTTGACTCATTCCCAGTCACGCCACTACCCCTGAACGGTGGAGGTGCAGTGCCCCTGGATGCCCTGCTTGACCAGAAGCTGCGCCCTGCCCCCTGCTGGCAGGAGAGGGCACTAGTGGCCGTGCTGGTCGAGAGGGTGGAGTCTCCTAACCACTTCTACATCCGCTTCGACGGAACGCCAGAGAGCAGGGCACTAGAGAACATGATGATCGAGATGAGGTGTCAATCTGAAGGATCCTTGGTGTCATTGTGTTTCTTGCTAGCCTACGGTGCTTCGGAAGAATTGGTAGCCGTGATGTTTTTTGTGGTGTCCTCAGGACCTGCTACACATGCCCTGAGGTCTCTGAGCGGTACCGGCTGCCGCAGAGCTTCGTGCGACCCGGCCAGGTTTGCTGCCTAGCACTGCGGGATGTGTGGTTCTACCGGGTGATCATCCATAGGGTTCTGAATGACAGCCAGGTTGAGGTCTACTACGTGGATTATGGAGACTTCAATACCGTGGATTGGAGGAACCTGAAACTCCTCAAGTACGTGTTACAGACTCTCACAGTGCCTGCATATTAATTCTCCTGTATACTGTAGGTTTACATATGCCTTTTTATTTATAAAGCAAATGCACTTTTTTTAGTTCCTTTTCTTTATTTTCAGTTTAGCAGGAAGTTAGCTTTCAATAAAAGTTATTTTAATGAGGCGAATGTCCAAAATTTAGCATTCCTGTTTAAAATCCTCTAATGATTTAAATAATCTGCCGATGTCTATAATTAACATTATAGCTTAAAGGTTACGGGCAAATTGTCAGAATATGCAGAATTCTCTTTGTAGATTAAAATAGCGCCTCTAAAAAATGTGCCCGTTGACTTTCTCGTGACTTAGTCCTTTGCTGAGGTTTTCATGTTTCTTCGAGGTCCTGCTACTCGGAGTTGCCCGCCCAAGCTGTCCTTTCATCGCTGATCGGGGTCCAGCCCGTCGGTGTAAGAGCTGCAGACGCCTCAGAATTCCACGTGTCCTCATGCGACTCAGCCGATCAGATCTCAGGACAGGCTACATAGTCGCCTGAGCCGAAACCCCTTTCCAGAGAACAGCACAAAGAAAAAAAACAAGTAAATTTTAACAGCTGAATTAACAAAATAATGGGAAATTAAAGTGACCAGAGTCATAGTTACATCTATGCATCTTCCAGCCACTTGTTCAGTGCAGATTAGCAGTGAGCCAGAAGGACAATGGTGCTGTGCAGGGACACCCTGGTTGGGCTGCTTGTCGCAGACACATGTGCAGTCACACACTACAGTTAATTCAGAGATATATTTTTGGGCTGTGAGACGAAAGCGAGGTACCCAGGGAAATCACATGCACACTCCAACCACAGTGGAGTGGGCGGGACTTATGTTTGTAATGTACCGTTTGCTTATATATCACTTTGGACCCTCAACCATTGAGGCGTGAGACTGCAGTGCTTCCCACACAGCCACAGTGCTGAACCCTATGCTGTCTTGTGTCCCAGTGTTACGTATATCTGCTGTCGAGTGGGTTGTCATAATGTAGCAAATCCCTTGCTGCTTCCAGTCCCTTTGTGGTTCTGTGTAGACTTGAGTTTGTGTCTTTTCTTATCGCAGGGCAGCTGGAGCAAGAGCTCTATCAGTTACTTCCAGAAGTTGTGTTGCGAGCACCCTCTAGTGGCTATCATCCATAGCTACCAGAAGGACGTCCTGCACGTCTTCCTCTGCGACACTCAAACTGAGGAGGATGTCTACATCCACACTGCCCTGATGACTGAGGGCCACGCCTTCCAGTGCCCAGCCTCAGACAACCAGCACGTCAGTAGCTGCCATTCTCCAATAGGCCTCTGGATACTCCATCCTCTAAGTGATTCTCATGATGCCTAATTGTGTCTCTAAGAATTACAGTCATGTCTGCCGTTTCCAGATCTCCATGCAGTTCAATCCCGTGACCCTCTATCTGGCGACGGGACCTTGTGATGTTGGGCGCCATTGGGACTCTCCTGGTAGACCGAGGACAAATGAGGACGCCTGGTCCGGGCCTGACACACAAAGGGTGCGGCCTTCCTGCTGGCAGACCAACGATCTCGCTTTAGAGTCCAGGTTCTGGGCCGGGCTCCGCTCCAGTGGGCCCTTCAGCTCTGTGTTAATCACGGAGACGCTCCTGGTTAAAAGAGGCAGTTAAACACTTTCTGCTGAGACGGTGGAGAACGGGTGCCGTCAGCTCTGGGGGGGTGTCATATATGGGCATCTTTAGAATTCTGGACTAACCATTAGGAAATCAAAATATGGGCTGATGTTCATGCACTGCTGATTTGGATAATGACCATGGAATGCAGACTGAATGTAGTGGGTCACTGTTGGCCTGCTTGCATTTTTTTGCTCCATTCTGTACCTGTTACAAGAAATGTGTTTTGTGACTTTTCCAAGATGTTTTATGAATAAGCAAAAGAAGGAATAGGAAATGGCTGGCACTCCTGTAAATTAGGACTATGAATCACTTTTAAAGCCACATTATCAGAAAAATCCCAGAGCATTTCACTTTTTTTTTTTTTTTGAAATTCTGTACTAAAATAGATTTACACGCTTAATGTTCTTGAGTGCTGGACATCTATTTTTGTTTTCCCGTTAATGCTTATTTTCATCAGAAGTGGCAATTTTTTCTTGAATTTGATCTTTGAACGGTCACTTTACCCTGAGCTCATGCTGTCTGTCCGTCCGTCACCCTCCCTCCCTTCCTCCCTTCACAGGAGACCTGCACAGTGAGAGCAGAGGACGACATCACTGACCTCCCAGATCTTGAGGTCATAGACATCACTGAAGTCCCCAGGACGGCCCAGGTGTGCTCTGCTCACTGCTTGCCTCTTTTGTTATACCACCTCCTCCACCCCTAACTTCTGTTTGAGAAGTTCCCGTGAATACACAGAGCGATGGTCTCCTCCACATCCCATCCATCCATCCATCCATCCATCTTATTCATCTTCATAACGGTTAACCTCTAATCCCAAGTATACTCAGTACTGGTCCATTGCAGGGTTCATGCACGCACACACACACACACACACACACACAATCAATGTCCCAGAAACACACAGCTGACACCACCAGCAGAGACACATTAGCCCCATGGCTGTGGCGTATGTAGCCCTCCAAGGCCGTCTTGGTTCTGCCTGACTGCTGGACTTAGTAGCCGATACAACTTAAAGATCCATTTTCCTCGCAGGAGACTTTATGGTAAGTGAACAAAAGGAGTCTGGAGCTTGATGCACATGTCAGTCTTCAGACATTTTGTTGAATTTGATTATGACTTAGTCATTTAATCATACAAACACTGAGAAGCATCAGGGGAATTTGCATAATGAAACTTTTTGCATAATTAGATTAATTAGCTGCGGAAGGGGGAAGCAGGCGAAGGAGCTGCCTCTGTTATAGACCCTGCATGGTGGTGTTTGTTTAAACTCAGGCAATCCTGGCGAATCCTTTCGGGGCTCTGCTGTGTAAGGAGTCAGTGCACTGTGGAGACCCGGTGCAGGGTTCCACTGCTGCTGCGAATGCAAGGAACGCAGAGCCCAAGACTGAAGCGAACCAGAACAAGAACCATGGAGACGAGACATCGGTAAGGACTTGGTTCTCTTATCATGTGACCTGCTGACCTTCAGGTCGCCGTGGAGGTGCGCCATGTAGCATCGGTACGTTTAACAGACACTTCAGGGTCAGACTATCCCGGGAGCAGTGGGGGGTTAAGGGCCTTGCTCTTTGCTAAGGCTGGGAATTGAACTGGTGACCTTCTGATAACAGACACAGCATCCTGACCCAATAACCACATACTGCCCCCCCCTTACTGCTAGTCGTGATCAAACATAGTTCTGTGTGTTTTTTTTTTCCTCTTTGAGGCTTGTGTGTTTGTCTGATTGGCTTTGCAACAGCAGCTGGTGTCGGGATGGTCTGTGTTTCACACTGATGCAGGCCATGGTTAGCGAGGTGTGCCAAGCCTGTGGCACCTCGCCTGCTCTTTAGAAGTGTGTGTAGAAGGTTCTGATTGCTGCCCCCAACCTCCCCCGTGCAGCTGGACACTGTGGGCAGAGATGCCGCGGCGCCGGAACTCTTGGGGGTGGGTCGCGTTGGCCAGGCCCCACCGCCCACACCACTCCCTGCTGGAGAGGCAGCACAAGCGGGGGACCACAGGGGAGGTAGGCTATGCTGTGTGTAAGGGAGCGGGTGGGGTGGGGGTTGGGGGGTCAGCTCTAATGAGGGAGGACGCGATGAGATTAGTCCCCTGTCAACCCGGGTTCCGCCGGACGTATTGATTGCAGTTCAAGGCTGCAGCCTATTTCCCAGATTCCAGCTTGGGTCCACTTGCTCGTTTCCCATCAACACGGCGATCGGTGTCTTCCGTTTTTTTCTGATTTAAGATAAGGTCCATTTCATTAATGTCATGCTCCTCTTAATTTGCCTAACAGCAGGGCCTTTTCGCGCAGCATTCAGATAAAGGCTCCACGCGGAAATTAAATTTAAGAGGAGTCGACTCTAAACGTCTAACGTTTTAGCTGTAAGTGGGATGCATCACGTAGACAAAGCTGTCGGTTTAAATACTCTGTTCATTTACTGTTCTGTGTGACACATGCTTTGGAGAAACTTGTACATTCTTTATATAGATTTAGGTAGATAATTCCATCCATCTTCCAACCATGTATTCAGTACAGATGGATGTATACACCTGTGTGGATGTCCGCACCTTAATGAGTGCCAGATCATGTCAGAGAAATATTTGAATTTGGTGCGAATATTAATTCCTGATAACAAATCTTTAGTCAGTTTTTTGTTTTGTCTTTTTTTTTGTAACAAAAATGTAATTATTAAATGTATGTAAAAATGATGTTGATTGACAGTTGGATAATTGGTATTTAAGGTGTTCTCCATCATGCTGAAATAGGTATTTTTGATTTAATTGAGGTTTCCTGGACCCTCTGATAATCGGGTATTGGTGTACACAGCTTTACTGCTTATATATAATAATAATAATAATACTTGTGCTCTACAGTCCACTGGTCTTTCCTAGTCTAAGACACTGACTGGAAGTTCTGCTCTTGCCCAGTTGCCCCTTCCCTGGCTGCGCCGGAGAAGGCCCAGAGCTTCATCTCCTTGTTTGCCCCTGGTGGTGGAGTGAAATCGCCCCGGTCCTTTCTGGGGCCCGCGGCCCGCCTGGCTGCTGGGACGCCCTTCCTCCACTGGCACTGTCACAAGGCGTTCTGAGGCCCAGTGGGGCGGGAGGCTGAGGCCCAGTGGGGCGGGAGGCTGAGACCCAGAGCGGACGCAGCTGCACTGGCGGGCAGAGTGCGGAGAGGTAACGAGAGAAGCGGCTGGGGAAGCTGGACTTCACATTTCACTTCTATTTTTTTGCCTAAAAATAAGACATTTTGGGTTATAACTTTTCTTTAGTTAGATTAATGTTCCTGTGTGAAGGTTAAATGTGCAAACACAATCCTCATAAATCTATAAATTAAGTAAAATATACTTAAAAAAGGGACTTTATTTTTGTTGTTTCCGCCATCAGGCGGATTTTAGCTTTTAAGAGAGAATTTTTGAATTCCTTTATTTTTGTTTGCTTCAATGTATGGTGAGAGTGTAACTTAAGTTATCATTGGTTGATGGAATTCGATCACATCGTTTGTTGTTGTTGTTATATAAGGCTACAGATATCTCTGTAGAAAAGAAGAGTTGAAGTGTTTTTTTATTTTGTCAATAAAGGGTTTAAGAAAAGCTGTTTGTGTAAAATGTAAGCAACCCTGATTGGTTGAAGCGTGTTCGCAGCTACAAACACCTGTACCAGACAGAAGAGATGGCAAGAAGCAACTGTATCCAGATTTATGTGCAAGATAAATGTCAGACCTATTCTGTCATGCACGCTCTATCGACATGTAGCCTGGTTTAAACAGATCTTATACTTTAGACATTAATTAGACCTTTCAGCAAACACCAGGTCCAACTGGTTTTCATTCCAGCCCATTTCTCAGAAATTGAAATTAGTTGCAATTAAATGGCTAATATATGCCAACTGAAAAACCGTTAAAATGAAGTGTAGTTTTAACTGGCTCAGGACCTGCAGTCACTTTCTGTCTCATCAGTTTTTTTTCCAAACATAAATTAGTAAATGAATTGCTTGTGAGTAATTGGGTTATTAAGAGGGGTTAAGAAATGTCCTTCTGTTGACTGAGCTTGAGATGCTGGCTTTTTGAAGATGGTAAGGCCTTGAGCTGGTTAAAGGGCGGCTTGTAGGAACTGAAACATTTATTTCCAGGCTGAGGTTTGGGCCGGGAGTTCATTTTCATGCTCTGAGGCCTCTACGTGACCGTTCTGTGACCTCGCTTCCCTCTGGTCATGGCTGCTGAGTCGCAGCTCAGTGAAATGCGTCAATCATGTGGAGTGGAATGGACCAGAAGACCTTAACCAGAGGCCTGTCATCTGCCCTGATTTATGTATTAATTCATGCGCATCTGTTTTTGTGTGTTTTTTTTGGTTGAAAATCAGCTTCATGCCAAAGAAAGTCTACCACAGCGGTAGCATCATGAAATGGTCAAAAATCCATCCATCCATCCATTATCTCCCGCTTATGCGAGGTCGGGTCATGGGAGCAGCAGTCTCAGCAGGGAAACCCAGACTTCCCTCTCCCCGGCCACTTCATCCAGCTCCTCTGGGGGAATCCCGAGGCGTTCCCAGGCCAGCCGAGAGACATAGTGTCCCAGCGTGTCCTGGGTCTTCCCCGGGGCCTCCTCCCAGTGGGACATGCCCGGAACACCTCACCAGGGAGGCATCCAGGAGGCATCCTAATCAGATGCCCGAGCCACCTCATCTGGCTCCTCTCAATGCGGAGGAGCAGCGGATCTACTCTGAGTCCCTCCCGAATGACCGAGCCCCTTACCCTATCTCTAAGGGATAGCCCAGCCACCCTGCGGAGGAAACTCATTTTGGCCGCTTGCACTCGCGATCTCGTTCTTTCGGTCACTACCCACAACTCGTGACCATAGGTGAGGGTAGGAACGTAGATCGACTGGTCAAAAATATAGAATCGAAATTTAGTGATGCATACGAGGTCCACAAAGATTCACGGGCTCATTCTGAGCTTAGTGGCATCAGTATGTCAATCGCCTGTCTTCCAGTGTGTGTTCCAAGTTGTCATCTGAATTATGCCCATTTCTGTAGCTTCTTCCATGTGAACCTGCTCAGAGATTAAACCTTGGCCAAAGTTTCTGGTTAAAATTATTCTTGCTTTTTCAGTACAGCACACTTGCATAGGAAAAGCTGATGCCTCCCTGATTGGGTTTTGACCATGTGACACAGATCGTAGTTATAAACACACTTAGACATTCCAGGTCACAAAATTTATCTTCCCCTTGATCTTTCCATCATGTACATTTATCCATCTAGAACCTTTGGTCAGGCACTTTCCAGGTTCTGGACTCATGTGGAGGATGTCAGGAGCAAGGAGGATGTAAGAAGTAATAAGCAGTAATGGAGCAGCATTCCATGCATGAGACTCTACCATGTACAGTGGTACCTCAGTTCTCGAACTCATTAGAACTCAAATTTCTTAAAAGTCGAACCAACCAGTTCAAAAAAAAAAATTAGCTAGAACTCAATCTGAATCTCAGAAGTCAAACCGTGAACGCCAATCTAGGATAACTTGTACGCGCGGGGAAATGAGTCACGCGGCACGTCTCTCAGCTTCAGTCTCAGCCTCGCATTCGCTGCGATAGCATCGTGCATGTTTACACTAGCTGAATGCATATATTTAGACAGTAAAAATACATTTAGGCAATGGCAGACAGTAACAGTAATTATTATATAATAAAATACATTTAAAAATAAAGATTTCTTAATTAATTTAATATTAATAATAAACCATTACTACATTTAATTATAATAATATTGTCGTGCTGAGCAGGGACGGAACGAAGACAAAGGCGCAGACGTCAGGGTATCGCGGAATACGGGGTTTAATTACAGGTAAGGCAGGCAAAACGCAGACGGACAATACAATGACCGGACTGGGGGGAACAAACTGAAACGCGGACGAAATACAGAGGACTAATGACAACAACCTGAAACAGCTGATCACTGGGGGATGCCACATGGGGTTGACGAGGGGCGTGGCACACGGAAGGAGCGAACGATTGGGGCAGGACACATTGTTTTTTTTTTACTTTACACATTGTTTGGATACATTTATTTTCTTACTTTACAAATTACTGTTTTGATAAATGTGCTTAGATGTGTTTAGTACAGTATATGCTCTTCTTGTTTTATCCGGTTCATTTTGTGTGTAAATGCTAAAAAAAACAAAACATATTTAGGTGTCATTTTTTGGGGCCGGGAACCAATTAATTGGTTTTCCATTATTTCTTATGGGGAAAATTCGATCACAACTTGAACTTTTTAGGATTCAATCCGGAGTTCTGAACGGATTAAATTCGAGTTCTGAGGTACCACTGTATATAGGAGACAGATGCAGTATAAGGGATACAAGGAAGCAGAAGCAAGGTTAGCAGCTACCAGGTCAGAGGGATGGTCCAAAGATGGTGTGGTGAGCGGTAGATGGCTTCCCCGCTGAAAGGCGTGAATGGCGTGGAGCTGAAGCACCCATCACACGACTCTCAGAAATGGTCAGGTGATCAGGAGGATGCTGGGAAGCTGACACTGGTTAGTGGGGCAGGCTGCAGGCACCTTTCCTGTCATGTCTATGCAAACTCTGGGAGTAATAATGTCACACGGGGGTCTTACAGAGTATGGAGTTCTTATACAGCTCTGGGAAAATTTAAGAGACCAAAGCAAGATTTTCTGTTTCACTCATTCCTCAATTTATGGGTGTGCGCCTGTGTAAAATATACTGTACATGTTTTTGAAGAAGACAGCAGGGCTCCTTCCTTGCCTTGTGGGTCTTCAATCCTGCTTCTAGAAGCCTGTTATGAATAGCCCTAGCAGTGCAACCTGCTGCTTCAGCGTAGCCTTCTGCCAGCAGAGCCACGATTAAACCAGGAAATGTGGAATGGTGTCAGTTTTTTCCAGAGTAGCATGTTCAGAAAGCCTTATTCATGTAATTAATCGTAAGATGCAGTATTGTGTGCTTACTGTACATAACCTGTAAATGTTCCACCTGCCCGAACTCAAAGTGGCTTTTCACACACTTTTCCAAAAATGTCTGCCGGGAAACGGTTCATCCGCTGTGAGGACTGATACCCCGGGTACCTGCTGCTCTTCCGTCCCCCTGTAATGGATAGTTCCTGTGCAAATGTTTGCTCTGAATGTGCTAAATGGAAAAGGACGAAGGGAACGGCGTATCGATCCTGCCCCAGCCGCGAGGATTAAATATAAAGAGCGCTCACAACGTGATCCTCCTGCCCCGGCGGCATCGTCAGGAATATTACACCTTCAGCTCCCGTTCACAAATCGTAGCGCTCTTCTGTTCCTCTGTCCCCTTTGAAAGAACAGGGTGACAATAAGATTGGATTTGTCATTTGGACGGTGCTAATTGCGACTATTTGCGAACTGATGAGCAATGATGATGAGAAATAGCTTGGTAGGAACTGGGAGACTTAGACGTGATACGTGTCGCTTGTTGCCGCCAAATCCAAATGGACGCTCAGAAACGCTGCCCAATATCAGCAAAGGCTCCTCAAGGGTGATTTAATCTGTTTTCAGAAGCTTGGATGAGCTAAAGGTCAGTGTGATGGGGTGATTATAAAGCTGTCATTGCAGACTGCCCCCACCTGTTCTAGGTAGATCAGCTTAATTAATCCCAATAGAAATCTCAGGAACAGAGCTAGACCGAATGTTTTTGTATATATTTGTTTGCTTTGAGTTACTGCCAAGTAAAAATTTGATCTTGTGATAGCTTTGACAATTCCCCTGGCCTGGGCAATCCAGTGCGGTGTTGTGGTATTAGGATGGAGGTGAGCTGCATTTGTATATGAATTCCCCAAGCCAGCTACCCCCTGCTGGTAGGTTCTGAGAACAGCTGGTAGATTTCATCTGCATAAGGAAAGTTTCCAGCTATATTAGAGGTCTGGCTTTCTTTGATAGGTCCCTGTAGGTGTAGGAAGTCCTCCTATGTGTGTATTGTGGCGAGGGAACCAGAATGAATCATTTCAGATTAAAATATCATGGCACTGTGTTTTTGGAGAGCATTCTTCATATCGTGAAATCCATCCATTCTCTGGGAGGGCCGCTGGGCGGAGGCAGCTCTGCACTTCGACTATGGATTCAGTTTCAATGAGGTGAAGCGGAATGAGCTTCACTGTGGTCAAGGACATGAGGATGGCCAGAGGTGGCAGGTACCCTGCTGGTTAATGTGTGTAACAGGCATTACCGTTTCCCTGGAGGAATCTGCTGTTGCACTATTGAGTAAGGTAGCAAGGCGGAAATAGCACCGTATGGCTGAATACCATTTTGGAGGAAGAAGCATGTTTATCTGTGTTTCTGGATCATTTAAAAGAAAGGGCAGTTTTTGTGTTTATCATTTGATGCAAAAGAAGAGTTTAGTATTCTGTGACTGTGACTTTTTATGATCAACTGGTTGGTTGAAACAAAATCTTGGTCTGGATTTTTACTTTCTGCACCTGAACTTTCCTCTTATTCACTTTGCATCTCTGCAGAACACAATGAAAAAAACATTCTCAGATTTCCTCATTACCTCAGCATCCCCCCACCCAGTGGTCCTACTGTTACAACCCTAATTTCTTCTGCAGATAAAAAAAAAACTTGGGCTGGAAGCAAGCAGTTGCTCGCTCTGTGTGTGTGTGTGTGTGTGTGTGTGTGTGTGCGTGTGTGCTCCTATTTTTAATTAACCAACCTCCCGGAGAGTAGCTGAGTATGTCTCTGAGAGGCTTGGCTCTCCAACACTCACCCTGAGGCAGGATGCTGGTCCTCCGGAGACGAAAGACCTTGACGCTTCTTCCTTGTCATCTTTTTAATTGCTCAACTGAAGTCATTACTTGAAGAGAGAACCTCGGCGGGGCAGTTCGACCGTGTTTCTCCTCCCAATCTGTGAATATTCTCTCATAAACTGATACTACAGGATGTGTGGTGGGATGGAGGACGGGGAGACGAGGCACAAAAGACTGCTGCAACGGCCTGGATTATTTTTGACCTAAGGCGTTAATGTAGTACCCTAGTACAAGGATGGCAGTAAGCGCATGAACGAACGCTGCCTGCTAGTGTGTGTGAGGTAGTGCTGTAATTCACACTAACTGAATATCGGTCCCAGTATGACTGGTAATCCAGTAAGAGCTCTTTTTTAAAGATAAGAGTGTTTATTGTAATTCCAAAACAAGTTGTACATGAAGGGAACAAAATGAGGTACTCCGGACCCAGTATAGCTAGCAATAATAAAATATAAATAAAATACAAAACAATAATGCAATGAATGAAATAATGTAAACAAAAATGAAATAGAATAATGACATTTAGATAAATAACGTTAGGAGAATATAACAGTGGATATAAAGTGAGCAAGTCTGAATGTAGTAGAGGTTATTGAGATCATTGCACAATGAAGTATATGCAACACTGGTTGAGGAAGGAGCAACATGTGTGTGCAAAAAAAACACAAAAGTGCAGCACTGTTGCCGGTAGCAATGTCCTGGTATGTTTGGGTCTCTAACATTTCCCAGTTACATCTTGTTAATTGTAACTAGTACAAAAGAGTGACTATACAAGATGGAGAACATCAGAGGCTGTTTAGCCTGAAAAGTTGCATTTGAAATTAAATGAATTTGCAGGCGCGCAAAAGATGTCAATTCCATTGAAATTTATTTATAGGGAAGCATGTAAGCGATGCAGAACCCACAGGGATTCAGTGTGACGTGCAGAGAAGCCCCACATCGTACACAGTATTTAAAGCCCGCAGGCCGATTTCAGACACATTCTCAGCTTTTGTACCGTTGCACACACACGGCCTGAAAGCCCTTGAGATTTAATGGCTGTACAGTTGCAGGCAGGAAATTAGATTCATATTGTATAGGCCTCATTTTTCCAGCATCGCCATCAGTGCAACTACACAATGAACAGTGCTGAAATCTGTTTAGCTGTTTTATAAATCTGTACTCATCAACCATACATAGGAAGGCCATCAACCACAAAGTGAATGGTCTCTATTGTGGGGCGGTTGTGTGTCTGAGAATTGGGGAGCATTCAAACTTGTGGTATGTGTTTGTGTAGCTGTGTTTGGCCCGGAGGAGTCATGTGGTGACTGTTTGGGCAGCAGGTTAGCATCAGCAGTGTTCACACCCACGCTAGGTCCAGGTGTGAACTCGCTGAGTCACCTGTGTCCTGTGTAGGTCAAACACATTTTTAGTAGGAATGTGCAACGCCATCACTAAGGCTGATGCAATACACATCTCGACGCATTGCCTGCAATCTGATACATTAAAGATACATATCAAGCAACTACTATTGCGATACGATATGATTCACCCCTATTGTGGTGCAGCGTGATTCAATGTGACATGATGCTATGCAATTCAATATTGGTCAGAAACAGTTTCGAGAGGGGGAATCCAAAAATAAATTATTAGTCAAATTTTTTTTAGCGCATTTCTAAATAATAAAGGCATGGGGCTTCTACTAATAATTATATATTAATAAATCTGATTTTACCAATCCAAACATGTCAGAAAGATGCACCCGAGTCCATCCCAAACTGTATCCAGTGCACACTTTTTAAATCGGGGAAATCGTATCGTGATCTTTTATGCCAGTGCACCGACACAGATCAGAGAATCTTAACAATCCCTAATTTTGTTGAGAGTTGTTTGGAAACAGCTGCAATCAGAGACGGACACACAGAAATGACATCGTGAGAGAGACAAACACAGGATAGTGGCATGCTGTCTGAGAGCTTAGACACATCTCTTTCATGAAGGAAGCGAAAGGTCTCTGTCAACTCACATGCCTGAAACTAAACAGAGGAAACGTTTTTGCATAAAGTGTATTTAAATTAAAGGGGAATTGGTAGCAATCAGCGGACTAAACCTACTCACATTAATTTGATTACAGCTTTGTTTGTGCTACTGCTGATATTTGAAAAGGTAAAACATTTTGTTTACATACTGTATAAAAAATATGATTTACTGATGACTCCTAGAATGATTTACACCCAGAAGAATATGGGTCTTGTATTTATTATTGCAACCCTAATGCCATTAAAAGAATGCATTTATCCACTCTGTGACTAAGTGTATCCAAAGAGACTCTGCACAGATAAGGATCAGATAAGAGTACAATGGTGCACAGGAAATTACATTAGCCGTGATCTGACCGACTCAGACCTTTCGCTTGCCAGGATGCTGCTGGTTGCCATAGAGATACCATCCATTTTCACTCCACCTTATCTTGGTCTTGGTGGAGAGGAAATTCTGTCTGTTGTGAATGGGATGTGAAACTAGGCAGAGGCCTGAAAAACGAGACAATTATTTTAAAAAGGAAAAATTTGCATCCGGAAAATAACAATATATGCCATTATTATCTACATAGCTACGTACAATTCCATTGTTTAAAAATGCTAATATTGCAACAGCCTTCTGAACAGAACCTCAGATCATGCTAGTAATGCCAACACACCAAATTGAGGCAGTATTTAAACTTTTAATAACTATTACTTTAGACCTGCTTTATGCAATGCGTGTCATTTGACATAGATCTTCAATATCTCACTTGTTTTCAGCAATAGACCTACTTCGGGCCATTTATTTTAAAAATGCCATAAACTTACAACACACTGCACATTGAGAAGTATTATCAGGCATCTAAGCCTGACGGATCAGACAACTGTTCTGTGCAACCACCAAATGTACCAATTTGTTTACAGGGTAAAAACTACGTATGAGTATGTACTGACAACTTGAAATTGTGTATGAGAAATGTGATAAAACACTTAAAAATGACTCATTGTGGGTAGTTCCCATGATGATGTGATTCAGCCGCCATCTGTGCCTGTAGGAGACCCTTAGACGTACGTTCTTGCCCCCGTGAGGTCGGGATGACATGAACTTGATGAAAGCTCTTTAACTAAGCATTTTTAAGCTAAGATATCATTTCAGGCGTCGCTTCATCGTTTTCACGAATCGATAAGACTGAAGTGCCCCAGCCCCCGGTGTCAGGTACACCCCTAGCTTATCCTTCTCCGCGTCCATGAATCGCGCTGCCAGCGGTACTGAAATTTAACCTCGCGTCCCCCTCCTGTTTACCATCCCCCTCGTTTCCACACACTATGGACGGTGCATGAAAGGTCGGACTGCCGTGCGGAAATCCAGTTATGAATGAATCGCACCCAAACTTAATTGCAGCGTATTCATGTTTTCATTGGTGGGTATAATTCTTTCAGTTTGCTGCCTTTTGCTGTATCATCTTCATCAGAAACCGATGAAAACGAACGCATGAAATTTGTACTTGCTTGACGGCACTATTTCAAATAAGTTGGGTTCTATCAGATTAGTGTAACTATAGTCTAGTTTGATTTGATCTTTTCTGTTGAAAGGGTGACAACCCTGATATACATTGGCTGTGATTATAGTAATCAAGATCCAAGCTCAAAAATAAGGGCTGCTGGATGGGACGGCAATCTGTACTACTAAATCTCTCCCCAAAGGGTGGTTTGAAGTCACCAATTTCCATAAACTATATGCCTTTGAGATGCAGACAAAACCACACACACTTGTTTTAACAGAACATAATTCAGTTCTTTCCACGCATATTCTGTAGTAAATACGTCATTACAACACACGGATTTACATATTCGTTTGTATGTATCGATATATTCGTTCGTATATATCTTTTTGTATATAATTAATTTAGGCTCTACATTTATAGAAAGGCTACAGGCCTTTGTGATTTTTGTTCTAGTGATCTTTTATCTTTATTTTAGAAATATGTTGAAACAGCTGGTGTTCGAAATGCCGCCCGTTACCGTCTGTCCACGTTATAAAGTTCCGTTCTGTTAATTATCGCAAGTGGTTTAATTCTGATACCGAATATACATTGATTTGGCTGCACTTTCTTAATGGAAAAGCGAAATCATGCGCCGAGCATCTTGACTTTGAATAATTGATTGGGCTGAGCAATTTATTAGGATTTTTTTGCATTACGTTATAGGGCACATGGCATGCCCGTTTGATGGCAGGGGACATGGGCAGCACGGAGCGCTGGTTTTCTCCCCGTTTGAGTAGTTGAGGAGCGCTCCAGAGACAGCTGTTGCGTAATGGGATTACTGGGCGCTTTCACCACAGGACCAGTCGCCGTGCTTCTGCAAGAGCGCGTGTGTTTTTTACCTCCAGAAAGACGAGCATTTTGAAAGGAAATCGGCGTACATGTCGTGTGGTATCTGGTTTCCTTTTTGTCATTTTTGCGCCGGAATACCCCGTATGTTCTGGATTTCCATGAAATATACTTGGAAAAACTTGAAAAAAGAAAGAACGAATTTACCATGGTGAATAATGGGAGGAAATTCACAACATAACGTAAATATATTTTCTTAATTCCGATTGTTTGTTTTTGTTAAATTTTATGATTATGGCATACTTTCATGATGAGTGCCGTACAAACCTATTTTTATCCTCGAGTTGGTTGCTGGATACAGTTTTTCTCTCTTGATTTTCAAAAAAACGACGACTCTTTTTTCCCCCCTAATTATTTACTTTGTGAGTTTACACTCTGACCTTTATCGAATATACTATCCATCACCCATGGCTGTTGCATCTTCCTGAGGGACTAGCGGAGTGGATGCGTTTCTTACCCGCAATTTCATCTCCCATATACTTTAATATTCTTTAATTGTGGTTGAACTTCGGCTGGACAAACCCCTTTCAATTATAACTGGAGACGAGAATAAGAAACGAACGATGTGCCGTTTCGTGTTATCCAGTAGTCCCTGGGTTGTGGAAATAAAGCAGGCGAATCAAGAAATCCCATAAAAGAGGACCGTGCGATCAACTGGGCAGCGTTTGGGGAGATCGCTCACACTGCAATTCAGTGCCGATCATCAGAAATAGGGACGGTGCTTTCAAAGGTAAGGTGATTTTGGATGGTGAGTATAAGTCTATTTCTCATATTAATTGTTTATTATTGATATTCAAAGGGGGGAAACATTCTTTCAATGGGAAGCGTGTGTGTATTACAGGTTCTGAATAAATATAAGGGGATTACTGGTGCAGCATACGGCTGGCGCTGAAGGTCTTGCATCGTGTCCGCTGCAGATATTAGGAGGAAAATGTTTGCGTTTCGAGACGATCGCGCCCGGGTTTCATTCTGCTGCAGCTGGCCGGCGACGCGTGTGATCCCTGTGCATGGAGCAAACTGATGTTTGCATTTCTCCTTCCCACTTACACCCAATGCATTTGAATTTTACTCTTATATGCAATAGGCCCGGCATGTACAGCTTAAATGTGTTCTTACTGTCCTCTTTGCCATTAGTGCAGTGTGGTTGTGTGTTTGCGAGAATAAACCAGTACAGGTCCGTTTAGATTTATAACATATATGTGGGTTTGTATAGTTTCTCTGCCCGATTCTTGCTGTTTATAAGTAATTCACTTTTAAATGCACGCGTACACTTATACTGTAGGCTACTGGACACAAGAAACAAGTTAAATGATTCAAGATCGCTGACCTTTCAGTTAACGGGATAGATGCTTTCTGAAAGACGCCCTGGCCGCGCTTCATGTACCGTTATTTATATCATCGTGACTGCTTCTTCTCCAGGCGACGGAATTATTTTTTTCTGCAGTGTTGTCCGGCTTGGCTGACAGGACGAGGGTAGTAACACCTTAATTACTACTAACAGTTGCGGCGAGTGAGTGGTAATGTCGCGTTGTTATGCTGTTAACTGCGCTAATGTCAGCCGTTTCTTTTGGTGTTACACTATACCGCTTTTTGAAGTTATTTCTACTTTATACTTGTATGCATGCGTGCATGTATGTATGTATGTGTGTAGTTAAGTGCCATCATTTCAGTGAGGATATTTTCTTTGTCAGGAATAATACCGGCTAGGGGGATGAGGTATGAATTATAGGCTACGACTGTTTTTTCAAATTCTATTTATTCTGTATTGTCTGAATGTAATTTGAGTCTGTATTTGTATACAGGTTTCCGTGTCCAATTCTGTTATTTACCAATCGTGATCGGATGTTGCATGTTTTCAGGTTATTTTTTTTTTTGTGGTAAGTCAGGTGTGGAAGATCTGAAGAAAAAACATTGTATTTATGCTTCATGTCCTTCACTTCCTGTGTGTGGCTGTCCCTTCAGTGTCCCTCTTGTAGTAGTAAAAAACATTGATGTACCATTAAAACAGGAACAGCTCGCCTTAAAATGTAGTCTGTGTGGCCGTAACCCTGAACCTGAGTGCTGGGGATGCAGACACCTGAAAAGGAAGAAAGAGCAGAGTCTTGTGTGGGATCCACAAGGCGTTTAGTGCAAGTTCAGCCGTTGGATCATAATGCTTATTGCTGGTGAGCTTCCATTTGAATTTTGCATTTGGAGCACACAGGGCTGGGATATTGTTTTTATCAGCAAAGGTTACAACTGACGCTTATATGTGAAGTTATCTCAAGAGCTGAGCTATCACTAAAAAGTTCCAGTCACGTAAAAGAACCTCCAAATAGTCTTATAACTATCTGCGTGTTAAAACTCCCTGGCCAAGGTTTGGCTGTTTTGCTTATCCTGCGTTTGCCTGCTTATCCTATTGAAGTGGCCTGATCATTGCTTTTCTTTTTAGAAAATTGCCAAAAAAAAAAAAAAAAACACCATCCCGTTTGCAGTGGAGGTTCGTACCGCAATAGAGATAGCCGATCTCAGCAGACAAGGCAAGGGGAGGTTACAACGAGCTGGCAAACGTGAAAATTACAATTTGTCAGACGCTGCAGCTTTTCCATGTTAATGGTTTCATGTTTATTCTATGAATGAAGCCAGACACAGCAGTGAGTCACAACTAATTATATTATATCCCGATTCTTAACATAAAGTTAAAAGATTACTGAAGGTTAAGTTTACTGAAGTGGTGACCTCACCATACTTTCATGACGGTTTTCAGAAAGAATTTCGTTTATATATTCAGTGACAGAATAAGGCTGCACCTTATCAGTCCTGTTAAACAGCTTATTAATAATTCAGTTTTCATTTAATCAAGCTGTGATATTACTGACTCCCTGATAAAAAAAATGATTTTAAATTCAGCTGTATTCAATACCCTCAATGTGAATAAAAATGCCTTTTTTGCTTAGGATTTGGGGGCACTTCTGGGTTGCAGCTGCGGAGTTGCCTCCCCAGGAGTTAGAGTCAGTGCGCCTCATCACCGTTAGTGAGGAGCCGAGTCACAGCGTCGACGCTTTAGCATCAGCATGGTAAAACCCCAGCGAGCACCTCTGCCGGCCTCAGCGCTAATTAGAGGCTGTCCGGTGGATCCTGTCCGTCAGCCAGATGTGTTCGTTTCTGTGTACGGTTGAGCTGACCACATGTTGCCTCTCGGTAAGCTGGCCAATCAGTAGCCTGTGGCTGTTTACGTCCTGTCATGGCTGATTACTGGCATTAGAGACGCAGGAGTGCCATATACTTCCTGTCTCATTTCTCAGATATTTCCCTCTTTGTTTCCTTTTGATACGCACACAGATGAGAGTTCTTTGTGGAAGATGCCGTAAAGCTGTGGACAGAGTCGGGTGGGTGCTTAACTTGAATACCTTTTTGCCCAGTGATGGAAAAATATTGTTGCAGGAATTATACTTAAATATTTGAAAAGGTGGGTTTTAAAGTTGAAGGCTTGCTGTGATTCCAAGTACAAAGTTATTCACCAAAATCCATGTGATTATCTAGAGATGGAGGAAGGACAGACTTGGGCTGGTTCACAGCTCATCTGTGCTCACAGCTTGTTATTCGCGATATCGATGATCAGATGCTTCTGTTGGCCATGGAAAATTATGTCACCTTTATAGCTGTGTAGTTAAATATTTACAGAATGTCCGATTGCTTTGTGTCAAGTGACATTAAAGACCTCTGCCTTTGGGAACAGTTATGGAAGTGTTTGTTATGAATAAATGAATGATAAAACTTCTAAAATATTGTCCTTAAAAGCAAGCTTTTAAGTAGTGTTACTGCATTTGTCTGGAGGTGTGAGAGATTCAGATTGTTCAGTCCTTTATTTTTGCATTAGTGTGTCAAACCTAAGGTTAGGCGGGCGTTGTTTTCTAGCTGCCTTAGAGGATGGTTTTGAGGTAAAATACTCTGTTAAGCACTGAGGCCATTTTTGCCTCATTGTGAAAACACTGTTGACAGAGCAGATACTGTTTTCTGAGTTAGATTGTGCGGCATTCAGTTACTTGAGCATGCAGACTGGCTGGGAACTATCTGAAAAGAACCATTTCTGAATGTATTTAAGGACCTCCGAGCATGCAGAGTGCTTTGCTTTAGCCAAACAGTAATAATGATTACTGCTGACTGTGGTCCATCGTGGAGAGCAGAATGTTACCCAAATGTTTTCCCTGAAGGCTTTTATTTGGGAATTTCGAGCTGTCCCCTCCCTCTGAAGCATTTCAAATTGGCTCAGAGGGACTGAGGCACACGACCGCGAGGTCTGGCTGAGGCGAAGGCTGGCATCCGCGTGCAGCCTGACGCTGTCCCCCGATTTGTCCTTGGAGCGGGATGCATGGTCCGAGCAGCCATAAATCTGCCAGCCGCCCGTCGGTGACGCATGCGGCCCCAGCTGGAGCCCAGAATGGCCAGGGAGATGGACGGGGTGGGGGGTGCCGACGGCAGAGGCCTTCCTGCACAGGATGACCCTAGGATTCTGGCAGATTTTCCAGCCAAGGAGAGCGAACGTGCCCAATTTCTGTCCATACTTGATCTCCTCTATTGTAAACTCCAGAATATGGTTCCAACAAGGCCAATGAAACATTATGCCTGCTATGTTACTCTCTGGGGTTACCTGGAACAGCACCTGAATAGACACAGGGGAGCTGAAGACCGAAGTGAACTGCACGCATCGCCAGTGGAACTGGTACTGTTTTGTTGTTTTTTTCACCACACTTCACCCCCTGAAGTCTCTGGCAAGGCTCCGTGTTCCCAATGTGAAACTCCGTGGCTGTAGTTAGCAGTGCGCCTGCAGACAGGGGCTGACGATGACCCGCGGGCTGCCAGCAAGGGGTCACCTGACCAGGAGGGGACAGATGAGTGTGAGAGCTGGGCACAGCAGGTCAAACACAACCCTCACGCGACATCCTGCACCTCTTGAGTTGACGCCCACAAGACTTCCCACTCTTTGTTCTATAAGATTCTGTTAATGTCCTCCTAATCTCCTAGTTTAAAGGCTGGGATTTACAAATTACACACAAGAGTGAAGGGATAGGTCGATTATAGGTCATCCTTGTCAGACAACCTACGTCATGAGTTCACGCCTTGGCAAATCCCCATTCCTTTTCATTTGCCTGTGCATACATATCCAGTGGGAGATTGAAAAAGCAAACGCTTGCTGTGTCTGCTGATGAAAGAATTAGAAAACGGCATTAATTCCCTGACCAGTGATCCCATTTCATTTTCCCCCCAGATGATAGTGAGCCAAAGCGTTATTTTTAATAACCCCCTGGCTGAGAAGCTCCAGTTGAAGCTTGCTTGGGAGATTTACTGGAAACCACCAGGATTAGTGACTTTCCCTTTCGTGCATGAGCTCACACATTTGAGTCAGCAGTCGGTTGTCGTGAGTGAAAATGTGTAAAACGTGCCTAATAGCTTTGATATATTGACGGCTCTGACGGCGTAAAATGACAGCACAGTGCTGACGGATTCATTATGGACGCAACGTTACACTCAGACGTGGTCAGATGTTGTCACATTTTGGATTTTTGCAACTCTAGGAAGCCTGAGAACCCGGAACGCTCCACCTCGTATAGGAAGTGAAATGGGTGCTGCCTAACTGGGGAATGTGAGTGGCAGGTGGCAGATCCATAGTGCCCCACAAATTGCCTGGGGGTAAAATGTCTGCTGGTGTCCTGTGATTCACCAGCAGGAATCCTATTCAGATAAATCAGCTGTAATGGGTGGTAGTTAAGGCAGCTCTGACATTGTTATTAGATAAACCTGCTGATCTGGTTAAGCTAACTGTTAACCTGGGTGGGGGCAGGTGTCGAATTCTTATCATTTGCACTTTTGCTTCGGGCAATAGATAGGTGGTAGTTGGCTGGAAGTAATAATTACTTTCTCACGAAATATTGTTGGTTAAGTAGCAAAAATGGGAGCTCCGTTGGTGGACAGACAAAAGGGGGTAGGTGTGTGTGTGGGGGGGGGAAGAGGAACAGGAAATAAGAAAATTGACCAGAGGGGAAGAAAGACGACGGGTCAAAAAGGGGGGGGGGGGCAGATGGAGGGGGGGGGGTACACAATGAGCAGGCTGAGGGGTGGGGATGAGGACTAACATGGCTATCTGGGGTGTTTGTGGGGACTGGGTCAGGGGTGGGGATGCGGACTAACATGGCTATCTGGGGTGCTTGTGGGGACTGGGTCAGGGGTGGGGATGAGGACTAACATGGCTATCTGGGGTGTTTGTGGGGACTGGGTCAGGGGTGGGGAAGCAGCCTTGGTGCCATGGCAACTAGAATATACGAGCTGGAGCCTATTGATCTGCAGACTCATTGCTATAATAGAGTGAACAGGATGATATAGGGGTAGGCCGGCCGGCCCTGCACTGCTCTGCGCTGCTCTGCGCTGCGTCGCTCCTCTGCAATTCTGCTGAGCTGTACGGTCCTTGGTGCCCCCGGGGGAAGAGGTGGGCTGGTCTCAGACATGTCCGTGCACTGTTTTCGGGGTGGAATAAACGGTGGCCTTTGCTTTGGCGTTTCTGGGGCCTGATGAGCTCCAGTGCCACAGCCCAGGGTGTGGATGCGCATGTATTTAGGATGGGTGACATTCCAGGCCAGTGAGGGGTGTTTCTCTGAACGACACGCAGGCTTAAAGGAGGACACTCATTCTGTCGCGTCACCATATAGCTTTTCCATTTTCATTTTTGTTAAATAACAAGAATTCCATTTACATGAGACGTTTTTGAACTTGAAATGTAATCAGGATTGTGATTAAGTCTTACATGTGGTTTTAAATGTTTTTCTCATTGTTATCAGCTGTGTGTCTTTTTCGATATTTACTAGGTAATTTCTTTTATTAGAGCAGACAAATAATGTCAACAGCAACAACAATATAATAATAATAATAATAATAATAATAATAATAATGTTACTATCGTACAGTGATGGTCTGAATTTGCCGTGCATCTCCTCTTTCAATGGCCTCCTCCGTTGTTGAGGAGATTGAGGTCAACATGGTGGCTACATTATCATGCTAATGTGGACTGTTTGCTGGAAGAGGCTGTGGTCCGGGGCTGTCAGCTTTGCGGACCGCTGGGCTTTGTTGTGCCCTCCCCCAGTCCCGGTCATAATGTGGACAACAGAAGGCCAGACTGACAAAGGCGGGCAGGAGTGAACTTGATTGACCACACTCGCAGTGAAGTCAAACGTCATGGTGGCTGGGGGCCTTTAAGGTCAGAGGAGGCACTTCTGTGTCTTTGTTCTGTGTACATTGATCCTGTCATTGTGTAATGAAAAGAATGTACATGTCACCTGTCACAAACTCAGACCACAGTATCAGGGTAATGGATTCCAGTTTGAAGTCAATAAGCAGGTGGATCAATGCTCCTGGTTCAGTATTATTCAGAATGAGTCCTTCCAGATTCCCTTTTTGATTAATTCTGGAACTCATGGCCGTGGGTTTGCAGCCACAGGGGTTTGGCCTTCAGAGTTCCATCTGTCAGAGACCTTTGCGTGTCCCCGGCGACCGCAGGTGCCTCCCAAAACATCGAGAGCAGATCTGTTGGGAGAGGGGATGCGGACATGACAGGATGCTGCCCAGACCCCCTGGCCCCGCCCCCAGGGAGGAGAAGCACACACGCGTCCTGAGATTTCTGCTGTGTGGTCATCATCCTCCAGCAGCCGCGTAATTACATTCTGTTAGACTGGCCCCTATATCAAATCCCTGCTGCTCGTCAAACTTAATTCTCTCCAGCCGACTGGCCCCCGGCTTCCTCTTTCAGCGCCCGGTCCTGCCGCCGCCATGTGAGGAGAAGCTCTGCTCTGTTCCCTGCCCCCCACCCAGGTCCGGTCAGATCTCGCTCGCATGGCACAGAGAGACAGAGCATTGCAGGAAACAGGAGTAAAAAAGAGGCTGTGGGGGGGGGCAGTGGTTAGCACTGTTGCTTCAGTGTGGGGGGACCGGGGGGAACCGTGGGACCGGGGTTCCAGTTTCCGTCATGACTCTGCCCTGTGATGGATGGGTGCCCTGGATAGGCTCCAGACCCCCACAACCCTACCTAGAACAAGCAGGTATAGAAAATGGATGGATGGATGGATGGATGGATGGGTGGATGGATGGACAGGAACTGGCCGCAGGACAGGTTAGGATCGGGGCTCTCATCTGTGCAGACAACATGGTGCTGAAGCACTTGCCTCTCTGGGCTGGTCTCCTTAGCTTGTGATACATTCCGGTTTGGTGTGTTTGGAGTGTGGCTCAGATTTTTAGTTACCAATTCAGAAACACAGAAGTGTGTGTGGTAAAGCGTCCATCAGTGTGGCTGAACAGAGTGTATTTTAGGGAAATAAACAGGATACGACTGTAATATAGCTACTTTGCTTTATTCAAAACAAAAATATACATTATTTAAACATTGCGATACACACATTTTTAAAACCAAATCACAATTTACCACACAATACAATTTTTAGCTAAAAACATAAAGCGACCAATTAAACATTATTCTGTTGCGGGTGCCGTGAGCTGGGTTGTCAACTAGCTAAAACAAAGCAAAAAAAAAAGATTCATGCAGATCCAGCAGCAACTTCTTTGCAATCTGTGTAATTGCATGTAATCAGCAATTTTTTTATTTTTTTTATAACTTTTTAATGCATTACTAACACCATCTTCCCTGTGTTTTTCATTCCCATAATATAACTCCTGCTCTTTCTTTTTACTCGTAGTGACCACAGAAATAAGAGCCAAAGCCTGCTGCATCCTGCAATGCTCTGCCGCTGGGATCACTGACAGCCCTGGCCCCTTCCATGCAGCCTCCCGTAATCCTGCTTTAGGTGTGAGTATCTGCGCACCATTAGCATACAGTCCTAAATATAAATATAGTGCTTTAACAAATTCACCTTATACTCAGAATGCTCTTCTCCAGTATACACAACATAAGCAATTTATAAGTACGTTTTGTTTCCTTGCAAATTAATCAGTGACTCATGAGCTCCCCCTGCTGTTTTTTCAGGTATTAAAGCACACTTATCTGGACGTAAGTTCAATTAAAAGTGCATACTTATGTGTGCTTGTCCTACAATACAGGCAGAGATGACTGTGGCTTTGTGTAACTGCTGCATTTAAGATGTTAAATACTTAGCCTGTTTGTCCCATCTCAGTTATTTCCCTGGTATGTGCAACAGTCTGGTGTCTGTTTCTGTCAGAAGTCTCCGGCACTCACATTTTTACTGTCTGAGAGGTGGCAGCACCGCCGGTGATGTTAATGTTCATGTGCACAGGGTTTGATGGAGATCTGGTCGAATGACAGCTGGAACTGTTGTCATAACTGGAGGAATTCTTGCTACGGTGATACTCCTGTGTATCATCGCCGTGCTCTGTTACTGTAGGCTTCAGGTAAGCAGGACAGCAGTGTGGAAACTGGTGGTCAATGCAGTGCCAAACGTTTACACATTCTCCTCGCTGAATGACTGTCAGATTCAAATGGAGCAAGAATAAACAGGAGAGTGAATCATCTGTCATTATGCATGTTGTTATACATTTAACCTACTGTATACAAATGTACAAATCATGGGCAGTGGTGGCTTAATGGTTAAGGGAGCGCACTTGTAAGTGAAAGATTGCTGGTTCGAATGCCCGACCAGCACGGCACCACTGACGTACCCTGAGCAAGGTACCGCCCCCAAGCACTGCTCCCCGGGCGCTGAATTAGCTGCCCCCTGCTATGTGACAACGTCACATATGGGTTAAATGCAGAGGACACATTTCGTTGTTGTGCACTGTGGTGTTTCGACAGTGACCACTTATCTCCAAATTCCAATCTGTTTCAGTTTCGCATTTGAACATTGCTTAATGATGCCACTCTACCAGTTTTCTCCATTCTCCTTCTTCCTCAATCATGTGCCTCCCCCACCTCCCTTCTGCTTCATCCCTCCATCCGCTGTGTCCCTCTCAATCCGTCTTTCCGCTCTCCCCATTCCCGCAGTATTACTGCTGTAAGAGAAATGAGCTGGAGGGTGACTTGGGGCCCGGCGCCCAGCCACACTTCGCTTGTAATGCGTGCAGCGCCCCTGGGCTGGACGGGAGCACCGTCACGCCGCTCTCCCTGTCACCGGACCCCACACCGCTCCGCGGCTACTGTCCCACATGCTCGCCCTACGGCTCGCCCTTCTACATCCGCGCAGCAGAGGAGACACCGAACGGCGGCGAGCTCATCGCCTACATGCCCACTCACTACGAGAACCCATCGATCTCCTTCGCCCTGCCTCCGGGCCGCAGGGTGGCAATGAGCTCTCGGAACCCACGAGAAACAAACAGCCGCACCATAAGCACCGACGTCTGACCAGTAGGTGCCGGAGCACCCAGTGGGTCCAGCTGCACGATCCCGGTCCTCCCTGCTGGTTGCAGGCGCTGGAGTGCCAGCAGTGAACTTGGATGTCTTTTTTCCTCATTTTTTTTATTTCATTAGGATTGAAACCCATTCAAACACATTGAAAACAAGAAATCCTAGAATAATGGATGAGGGCTATTAATACCGTAGTGACACCTGCTCCTAGTTTTGTCGTGTATCTTATCCACTGTATAAACAAAAATGAAGATGAATTTATATATTTAGTTCTGTAAATGAAAAATAAAAATCTGCATTGTTTTTCAATATGAAAAATACAGAGAGCCCGTTTTTAGGTAAATATTTTCACTCTGTAAATTAAAATGAGTGTTAAAAAAATAATGCATTCTCTATGCAAATACTGCAGAAGTAGGCCTTTGTTCAACACATACAAGGAGTGTTACGATGATATTATTTTTTACTGTTTTGCTCACGCTGTGAAGAGGCGATGTGAGTAGGGCCTATCTTCCTTTGCGAGTGAGGAAGACAGAATTAGCTGGTCTTTTTGAATCTACTCCAAATAACTGATTTGAAATCAACTGCCCCCCCCAGTTCTAATGTTAATAAATTAATAATAATTGAACTAACAAAGGGTCACTTTTAAGATGTTATGCATACAAATACATATTTGAGGACTGATTTTTTTCCCCGGGGGTGGAGCAGTTTGACATGTTTCTGAAACAGACATCAGTGTTGTGAAAAAGCAGTTTTACATTTTTTATATCACAGTACTTGTTAGGCCTATCTTTACCGAAAGAGATGCAAAAACTTACGCGAGTGGAAGATGACAATTAGTAGGCCTACCTTACTTGTTTGTTTATCTAATCGACTCAGGTTGCTGCATCTGTAGGCTAATTTTCACGAAATACTAAGGTAGCCATTGCATTTGAGAGAGTGATCTTGGAAAGCAATGTAACGTCCGTGCGTGGTTTAGCCATCTGGGATGAATACCTTCATAAATCTTATGTCACTGTTCAACAATTGTTATGTCTATTGTCTTTTTAACACTTATCACTCGTCTATCTGATCTTGTAAAAAAAAAAAAAAAAAGGAATGTCTACATTTAAATATTTATCAATATTTATTTTTGTGACACCAATGCTTGCGGTATATACAGTATTACTTTCCTCCCAGGTCTTTCTAGTTTAGAATGTGACAAAGCATAAAAAAGTTGAGTCAATCAACAATACTTCATATTAAAAATAATTGAGATAAATATGTCGATACTAATTGTATGCGTAGTCCAGTAAGATTTTCTCCTCTGTAGTGCACAGTTATCTGAGGCAATGTTCTTATCTCTCACAATCAACCACTTTCTAACTCAGTATCAAACGTCGGTTCGGTTCACGCAATAAATACAACACACCTTCTGACCCAAGTCAAGCAAGACTGTTAACTTGGTTGGTTGTAAAATAAAGTTTGTTACAGTTGGCTTATGCGTATTACACCGACTCAGACACTTACCTTCGCTTTACTCCTTTTGCTTATTACCTAGGCTTATTGTATTTTTAACGAGATGTATTTTTAAAAAAACACTCAAATTACTGAAAAAGAACAAAAAGTGTCCACCTTTCACAGAATGCTTTTGAAGAGAATTAAACGTTTATAATTGCTTGATGTGTTGTGCATGTTACTGTCTCTGAGCGTTGTGTGATATAAAATGATACAAGAGTACGTGTGACCTGAGAGAAAAAACATACAGGAGGCAAATGTTTAACAATAACAAGGGACGGTACAAAACAATTAGGGCTATAGATCTTGCATTTCAAAATTGGAAGAAAAAAACTGAATACAAAAATACATTTTCTTGTTTTTTAATACAAGTGCATACATCCACACACATTAACTACGCATAGTTCACGTTAATATGCAGTTATAACCTATAGTGTTTTGTATTCATCTGTTATTAAAAACTAAATGTTTCACCAGCACTTCAAAAACAATTCAAAGAATCGTGAGGCAGAACGGGACTCTGGGGAGTCAGTGTCAAAGGGCATGCAGTCACACGTGGACGGTAAGTGTTCTCGGATATGTACATACACATGATATACTCGGCTATGAAAGACGCTAAAGTAAATCATTTCGCAACTTGCTAATTTGATTAAAGCGTTCGTAACGCGCTCCCCGTGACTGCGCACAGCCGGCTATTGTGCGACGCGGCGGCTTTAAGCGCCGCGGGGGCGCGCTTGGTGACCGGGCTGTTTTGCGGACCGGGATGCGTGTCGATGAGGAGCTAGGACTGCGGCGGGATCGGAGCTGTGCCGTTTACACAAGTAAGTGGCCGGATGGGGGGAAATGCGCAGCTCAGCTGATCCTTTTAAAGCCGCGATCGTGCACCGGATCAGCCTGTAGCCCCCGTACTGTGCCGCGGAGCAGTTTACGTGCTTGCTTCCCCCAGTCTGCTGCGAAGATCGCCACTTCCTGCCACTAAGTGCGGCAGTGCTCGGAGTTTCTCCCAGTCTCTCCATCCTGTAAACAGCTACGCCAGGATCGGCCGACCGTGCTTTCCTGTCCGATCGGGTTCCCCCGATGCCGCCTGGCGGCGTGAGTCCGGCAGAGCCGCGGCCGGGGTTCGCTTCGTGTCACCGCCCGTTTCCTTCCTGTCCAGCTTAGCTAGCTTGTCCGACACGGCACTCGACTGTGTGATTTTTTTTTTTTATTATATACCATCTTAAGTTTCTCGCTAATTTAATGACAGCGATAGTTTGGCATGGTCATCCCGTCCGTGGGCACTGACCTGGCTGTTTAAACAGCGTTTCCCCAGGAAGGGCTTGGAGCGGACTTATATCGACAGGGCTGTGCCAGATTTTATTTATCTCCGTGGTCCTGAGCTTTGAAATTCTCAGGTGAGAACTTTCGTGCAATAACACAAAATAAGTTTCCTTGATTTTCTGTAAAGGTATTCAGGGGTTAGTTAATTTGGTTATGGGCTGCCACCCCAAGAAAAAGTAGCATAATATTAAAAATTAAAAAGCATATCATCTTTTATAAGCATGACATGTTGGAGTGAGTGAGGGTCTGTCTGTGTCTGTCTGTCT